AAGGAGGGAATCCTTGAAAGAGCTGCGTGTGCTGCTTTGCCTGCAATGCGCGAAGATCCATGTGCTGTCCTGTCTGCAATGCGAGGAGGTGCATGTGTGCGAGGAGAGCTGGTGGGAAGACTTGGTGTGTGGAGAAGGGCAGTGTGTTAAGCGGGAAAGCAGAGGGGGCAAGATGAGATGGAGGCACAGCAGGAGCAGAAGCAGGAGCAGATGAAGAAGCAGCAGCAGCAGCAGCAGCAGCGGTAGCAAAAGCAGCAGCAGAAGAAGAAGCGTCAGCAGCATGAGCAGCGGCGGCAGGAGCAGCAGCAGGGACAGCAGCTGCATCAGCTACAGCACCACAAGCCGCATCATAGATAAGTGGGGCAGCAGCCATGATGGGACCTCGTCCAAGCATATGATCCACCACCAGTGTCTGAGCCCACGCGCTGCGGGGCACCACCATGCGACTGCTGTCCGACGTCACTCGCAGCACAGGCAAACTCTCGACAGTCATGCCGTTGCCTTCGCCAATGCTGTTGCCGTCATTGTTGCCGCTGTTGTTGCCGACCATAGAAACCATTCCTCCTGCCGCTGCTCCGGCCGAACCTGCTCGAACTTCCGCAGCTGCGGCTGCTCCGCCCAGAGCCAATCCCGTCCCAGTAATAGTTGGGCTGGGCCGTCTTGCTGGGTAGCCTACGAGGCTCGCCGAACCTGCAGGCTCGGTACCGTGGCTACCAGGCCTGGCCCCAGGCACACTGGAAGAAGCAGGGAAGAGGCTAGCTCCAAAGGTAGGGGAAGAGCCTGGGGAAAAGGGCAATGGTGCTCCCAGGTTGCTGCGAAGAGGAGGCGCTGTGTGTGCCCGAGAGAGAGCATGGAAGGACGGCTCTTCTGCTGCTGGTGCTGCTGTGGATGCGGCAGCTGCAGCCATGATTGAGGAGAGTAGGGAGAAGTTGGGGAGAGCTATGCTCGCTGCTGCTGCTGCTCGGGCCAGGGCGTTGGGTTGGAGCTGAGGCAGCGGGGGGTGACACTCTGTGGCAGGGGCCATGGTAGTGGTAGTAGCGGGAGCAGCAGCAGAACGAGCAATGGTCGCAGCAGGAGTAACAGTAGCAGTGGCAACAGGAGTTGAGGCACTGGTGCTTCGACGGACCTTAAGGGAACCAAGCGCCCCACTAGTTGTGCTCACGCGGGTAGCACCAGCAGCAGCTGCTGCTGCTGCTGCTGCTGCACCTGACGCTGATGCTGCTGCATATGATGCGGATAGTTTGTCGCATTGCCCACTCAAGCTGCTGTTGCTCTCTGCTGCTCCTTCTGCTCCAAATGCTGCTGCTGCCTCGCGCAGGCTCCGATTCAAAGGCTCGAACCCGGGCCTGAATGTGTGAGCCTCGGGCCTTCCAAACGCCTGAGTGTGAGCCTCGGAACCGAACCTTGATGTTCGAGCCTCGGAGTCTGGGTGTGCGAAGCGCTGAGCCACCGTTGCCATCCCTCGTTGCCGTATAATGGCTTCAGCTATCGCTGCTGCATCCAAACCAGCAGCACCAGCACCAGCAGCAGCAGCAGGAGGAGCGGCAGCCGCAGAATTGGTGGGGGCTGCAGCAGTAGCGGCGGTGGTTGCAATAGCAGCTTGGCTGGCGGTGTGAATCTGCATCTCCCTTAACAACTGCACATTCATTTCGTAAGTCAATCGACTTTCGCGAGTGGGCGAAGGCAGACGTCTGATCAAGTCCGAAAGCTGAGACGACGCCTGCCCTACCCCTTTCCACCCGGCGGCGGCGGCGGCTGATGCGGCGGCCCGGCTCCCATAGGCAGTGGCGGCTGTGGATGCAGCGGGACCACTCGCGTCGACGCGTCGTCTCTTGGTTGGACTCGCGCGGCTCGTCTTTTTCGCTGGGCTTGCGTTGATATTGATGCATCCTCGCGTCGCCGCAATTTCCGGCGATGGTCGTTTCTTCCGGGATTTCAATCTGACCAGGGGATAGCATGGTAATCATCAAAGTGAGGAGGGTTTTCCGTTGGTATTGGAGTAAAAAAAGCATGGTGGACGTTGATTTTGAAGGGCGATCGCCAAAAACGCATCTCGATTATGATTTCGATTTGGAATTGCGCTGACAAATGTCGTGGATGCGCGGAAACGTACGATGTTGATGATGAAACGCGACGCGAGGGCTCTGAATGTCTTCGACTGAATTTCACGTCGCCATCGTCGTCGCGGTCGCCTTCGCTGTCGCGCTCTGCTTTTACTAGTCCCTTGCGGTCGCCAGGCGGCGACGAGTGCGACGGCTTCACGCGAAGCTCTCCGGCGAAAGGCTCTTTAAATTGCTGGGAGCGATTTAAAACTAGTCCGGCGGCGCTGGTACGATCAACGGACGGGCGCTGGGGTTGCTCGTCGCCGGAGCTATTTCCGCCGCCGCCGCGGCCGTCGCGGTGGAGCATTCTCAACAATTCCGTCTGGATAAGGTCGTCCACTAAGCGTCGACGATCTCGACTTGGACTCGAATTCGAGCTAAGTTTGGTTCGTGTTGCTGAGCTGGGCGTGCTCATACTACACGTATCGACAGCTAGGACTATCCACAGAAATAAACACGCTTGAATCGCGGGTGCAAACTAAGCAATGTGAGAAACGAGGATACGCAAATCCGCTGAGAGCTGGAAGAGGTAAGTCGAAGCCTGATTATGTTGCTTCAAACCAGGCTCTGTCTGCCAAGGGCGAGAGGCATTTGTGCGAAAACCGTGGACGGGGGCGTCTGGATGAGTGGAAGTCGAGATGTCGAACAAGGGCCCTTGATTTCAGGTATTTCACCCTCAGTCAAGCCAAGATTGTGGATTTTGGCTGGGCACTAGTTGCCTAAATAACCTTGGCGAGTTCTGGTATCAGTTGAAAAACCAATAGGTTCACTGATGGCTGTAATAAGCACCGCAGGGGGTCTTCCAATGCAGGTTCACGAAGCAGTGTGCTAAATCACAAAATCACTTTCATACACTACTTCCTCCTGGACTAGAGCGCAATTTTAAGCTACCCAGAAAAATGACTCTAAGTGACCCTATTGTGCTTTGCGCCATTTGGATAGTGATATCCGATTTAATCAAATCCATTGCGACTATTCTGCCGTGAGTGTACTTGTGCTTTGCTGAGAGTTGAGCAGAAACGACTGAGGCCGTGTCGTGTGTGGCGCGGGAATCCGATTGCGATTTGTAGGCATCTGCGCTCCGTTATTTCAGCGACTTTCGGTCAGTTTTCAGGTCGGGGAGGGGGTGTGCAAAAAAAATGCGCATACATTTTCGAGTACAGTACAGTTTGCGGTTTCATAGCCACCGTGTGCCCCCAACATTGGCCAAGTGTCGGGTCGCGTGGAACTGGCAATGCTGGGAGCCACGTCACATACTTGTACAGTAGCAGCACCAGCAGCTGCAGCTGCAGGCAGCAGGAAGGCTTGTTTCACACAACTCACCAAATGCCTCAAAGATCTCTGTCGACTCCAGTTCGCACTCAGTTCGACTCACAAACAACCAACAAAAACTGGTCTCCCACCGGGCATACGTGCAACCTCACACAAGTCAAATGCGCTCTGTTGAATCGGTCAGTCAGTGTCTTTCATCACTCACGACACGAGCTCGTTGGTTGGTTGGGGTGTCTTCGAGGATCAATCATACTGTACACCAGCTGTTGGAAAAGGAACTGCACGGTCCCTCAGTTCATTCCCGTAGCTGTAGCATAAACTTATAGTCTGCACTATTTTCCCAGTGTTTTTTCTTGGAACCGTTCAGGGCTACTCTCCCGCGCAAGATTCTAACCCAGGATGGTTTAGAAGAGAGTTGCTGCAATGTTTCGCGACAGCAAGGAACGGCAGGGAAATGTTGCAGTGCATATTTACGGAATGAAGCACACAAGTGCTTGAATACTTCCCTTAATTCCGGGTCTATTTCGTTCCTCTTGAAAGTCTCGTCTCGTCAGTTGAGACTTTGGAAGACACAACCAGCATCGATCGAGACAAGTGGGACCACATGATGATGAAGGACTTGTTCGTTGCAAAAAGCTGCAAGAGGTGTCCTTGTATGTTTCCGTAAAGCCAAGCAGCTTTGCCCTGATGCGCAAGCTGGCAACGAATCCTGCAGTACAACTGGCTATTTGAAAGGCAGGAACTGAAAATCGGTTGGACTAGAGAAATCAACACCCGCAAAGTGGGTGCAGTTGAACTGTGAAACACTGCCTTACAACTTTTTCCAGCTGCCCGATCTCGCTCAGAATGCTGTCACGCCGAGTGACGTCATGTGCCAGACGAATGGTATCGGATACGGCTGAGATACTGGCAGTTGACCAGATTTGTCACGTGCCAATTGGACACGGTCATGATACAGTCGGGCCCACAACCGCGAAGCATCCTACGCATGATCCTCCCAACCACTTGCGTGTTGCCTTTGCTGCTCTCGTCCTTACAAGGTTTCGGTAATGATTAACGCAACAACAGCCAGTCATTAGTGCACTATGATGCCGTACAGTATTACAGTTGGCCAGGTCTTTATATGATGCCTAGGTTGGGTTGCTTAGGACGCGTTGAAAGTGCAAATATCGCAGGACCGTCTGCACATATCGATCCCCACTATCGAGTGGGCAGATCGTTTGGCGAAACGTGGCGACCGCGACGTTGTAACGATCGCGGCTGAAAATTGACAGATTTCCCGCGAACAGTGATCAGTCGCATTCTCACACTGTACAGAAATTTTGTCCCAAAAACTTACTGTAGCATGGTAACAGCGTAGTTAATAGGGTAACCAATAAGCGCATCGATCTTGACTGACGATCGATCTTCTACTTTCACCGCGTCCTTAATATCTCGTTGTTCTAATGTTTACACCTCCATGAACTGCTGTTATAGTACATGGATTCTTGGTTTGTCACTGGCGCTTTTCCCAATAAGATCCAATTTTCACCTAAACTCTGGCACGTTACTTCCCCTGTACTCTATAGTAGCTACACTCTCAAGCATGCATTGACTGCAATATGTATAGATTTATTTGAAAAGAGTTCAGTAGGCACGAGAGAAAATCGCCCGCTCTGTAGCGGGTTTCCCTGTAAAGAAGCACGTGGCATCGGACAGCTTTGGCTCGAAAGGGAAGCAGCGCAGGGTAGCTCCAGTTTCCTCCTTCACTCGCTGCTCATCCTCGTTACTGCCGCATGCAATACAGGAAACAGAAACAGAAAATGGGTTTTGAAGTTGCCTCAAAAGCAGCACATGGTGGCTCTCTCACTGCATCCTTCGCTCGCTGCTCATCCTCGGTGCTGCAAAGGGCAATACAGGTCACAAACACAGCAGATGGTTCCATACATTGACATGACATTGAGCAAGCACACCGTCTGCCAGCACCGCACTGCACCCCACCCACCCCACCAACCCCTCCCCACCGCTCTCACCTGCCGGCCCAGGGCCTACTCGCCCACTTGCTGCTGGCAATAGCAGCCTTCAGCTCCTCATAACTCGCCACCTCCACGATATGGCTATCCCTAAACGCCACTGCATCTGCCAGCAAGCCGTCCTGCACCTCACCCCATTCCACCCCATTGCACTCCACCCCACCCCTCCCCGACCCTCCCCACCCATCCCCACCCCTCCCCACCCCTCCCCACCCCATCTCGCCACACCGCTCTCACCTGCCGGCCCAAGGCCCTCGCGCCCACTTGCTGCTGGCAATGGCGGCCTTCAGCTCCTCATAACTCCCCACATCCACGATATGGCTATCCCTGAACGCCACTGCATCTGCCAGCAAGCCGTCCTGCACCTCCTGCAGCAGCGCGTGCACATGAGACACCAGCTCCCACCCGTCTCCGCCCATCGACACCCCCAACTGCTTCCCCTGCTTCCCCGGGCGGTCGCGCCTCGCTGTCACGACTGTATTGGCTGCGACATCCCGCGGACCAATCTCAATGCGCACAGGAACGCCCTGAATTATGGGGATGGGGAAAAAGAGAGGGGGGGGGGGAGGGGGTGGGGTGTGGGGGGTAAGGGGAGGGGAGAAAGGGAGGAAGGTGGAGGGGGTGGAGGGGGGGTGTGGGGTGTAAAGAAGGAGAGGGTGGTGGTTAGAAGGGAGGATGCAGCAGCGCGTGCACATGAGACACCAGCTCCCACCCGTCGCCACCCATCGACACGCCGAACTGCTTCCCCTGCTTCCCCGGGCGGTCGCGCCTCGCTGTCACGACCGTATTGGCTGCGACATCGCGCGGGCCGATTTCAATGCGCACGGGAACACCCTGAGAGAAGGGGATGGGGGAGAAAAGAGGGTGTGGGGGGAGGGGGAGGGGAGGGAGGGGGGGAGGAGGGGGAGAGGAAGGGGGGGTGGGGGTGTAAAGAAGGAGAGGGTGGTGTGGTTAGAAGGGAGCATGCAGCAGCGCCTGCACATGAGACACCAGCTCCATGAGTCTGCTAATACAGCCCAACTTTACCTACCATACTCCATGACCGTAGCTTCTTTTCCCAGAAGTTGAACTTGAACCCAGGATTGCGCTGCTCCGTGTCATCCAGCTTCACACGTGCACCACGAGTCTGCTAATACAGCCCACCTTTACCTACCATACTCCATGACCGTAGCTTCTTTTCCCAGAAGTTGAACTTGAACCCAGGATTGCGCTGCTCCGTGTCATCCAGCTTCACATGAACACCATCAGTCCACGCTCACACCAAGAGTCTGCAAACCCCAACATCCCACAGTCAGCCCAACAGTTCCCAGAACCCTGACAATGCACCTTCATTTCCCAGAAGTTGAACTTGAACCCGGGCGTGCGCTGCTCTGACTTATCCAGCTTCACTCTCACCCCCGCCGCCCGCAGTATTCCCTCTGCCCGCCCTGCTGCCTCCAGCACAGCCTCTTTCTCCCCCTCCGCCTTCCAAATCGGCACTATCACCACCTGCAACATGAGGATTCAAGGGGGGATGAGCCGCACAATGGGGGGCACACAAGACAGCCACGAGTGGGGTTAACCTATCCCCTCCGCTCGCCCTGCTGCCTCCAGCACCACCTCTTTCTCCCCCTCGGCCTTCCAAATCGGCACTATCACCACCTGGAGCAGAGGGGGCGGTGTGTGAGGGAGACGCACACAGTACGGCCATGAGTTGGCATGAGGTGCTTGGCATCCCCTCTGCCCGCCCTGCTGCCTCCAGCACAGCTCCTTTCTCCCCCTCGGCCTTCCAGATTGGCGCTATCACCACCTGCAGCGGAGGGAGTGAAGGGGGGAATAGGAACACATACAATGGAGCCATGAGTGGTGTTGCGTTGCAGCATCCCCTCCGCCCGCCCTGCTGCCTCCAGCACGGCGTCCTTCTCCCCCTCGGCCTTCCAGATTGGCACTATCACCACCTGCAGCAGGGGAGTCAATAGGGCCAAAAGTTGGTGTGGTGTGTAAATACTTCCGCCACCCGCCCTGCTGCCTCCAGCACCGCCATTTCTCCCCCTCTGCCTTCCAGATAGGCACTAACACCACCTAGAGATTGAGGGGAGGTGGGATGGGGATGGGGGTGGGGGAGTTTGTTGAAGGGGGATGAGAAGACACACAGAGTGGGGGGACGAAAGTCACACACCGTGGGGCTGGGAAAGGGGTTGTTGAGTGCACGGTGTGGATGCTGCATCCACTCCCCAGCTCCCTTCGAGTGCACTCTCACCCGCCCATGTGCCATGCACTGCATGCATGCAGCAGTATACTGGGCGAGGCACACTCACCTGAACAAAAGCGATATAGGAATCATTTTTGAGAATTCTCAAAAGTGATTTCTCACGCACCCATGTGCCATGCAATGCATGCTTGCAGCAGTGTACTTGGTTCAGCACACTCACCTGAACAGGAGCCAGATTAGGAGGCAGCTTGAGCCCCATGTCATCGCCATGCCCCATGATCACTGCCCCCACCATGCGCGTGCTCACTCCCCAACTCGTCTGCCACACGTACTGCTGCTCCCCTGTCTCTGCCAGGTACTGGTGAAGGGGAGGGAGGGAAGGGAGGGGAGGGAGGGGAGGGAGGGGAGGGAGGGAGGGGGGGAGGGAGGGGAGGGAGGGGAGGGAGGGGAGGGAGGGGAGGGAGGGGAGGGAGGGGAGGGGAGGGGGGGGGGGAGGGAGGGGAGGGGAGAGAACCGAATCAGCACATATGAGCACCATATACGTCGTCTCTGCACCTCTTGCCCACACACACACACACCTTGGTGCCAAACGCCTTGGCGAAGTTCTGTCCCAGAAAATGACTTGTCCCCGCCTGCGCGCCCTTCTGTCCCCGTGGCCTCAATCGTGTATGTCGTCTCGGCACCCATATCCTTCCTACGCTATCCCCTTTCCGCCATCACACATAACAAAACACACCTTGGTGCCAAACTCCTTGGCAAAGTTCTGCCCCAGAAAATGGCGCGTGCCGGCCTGCAGCGCTCTCCTATCCCCCGCCATGGCTTCAATCCTGTACGTCGTCTCGGTACTGGCAAAGGTCCCACATTGGGCCTGACTTGCGCCCCGCTATCACATCACCCATCCCTTTCCTCCACTCACACACTCCTCACCTTGGTGCCAAACGCCTTGGCAAAGTTTTGCCCAAGGAAGTGACTCGTTCCAGCCTGCAGCGCCCTTCTATCCCCCGCCATCGCCTCAATCGTATACGTCGTCTCGGCACCGGCAAAGGTCTCATTGGGCGACTTGCGGCCCACTATCACTGGCACTGCCGCCTGCTCCCATGCAAACTGCCGATACACCTCCACCATGCGCAGAGCCTGGGGAGAGGGAGGGGGGATGGGGAGGGGTTGACAGGGGGAAGTGGGTGTGATGGTTAGTGGGCGCAAGGTGGAAAATTGCGCTAAGCGAAATTTTCGAACCGAAAATTTCGATCGAAAATTTCGGCCGTTTTTGTAAAAATTCGGCGAAATTTTAATAGACAAAAAAAAAAGAAAAAAAACTGCCTAAATTTCTCTAGCTGCGAAATGCCAGATCCGCCCTAGATCTAATGGCGAAATGCAAGATCAGCCCTAGATCTAATGGCGAAATGCCAGATCCACCCTAGATCTAATGGCGAAATGCCAGATCCGCTCTAGATCTGGCGGCGAAATGCCATTAGAATGTACACCCATGAAATTGTATCAATTTACACACGATTTTCTCAAAATTTTCCTTAAAATTTCGGGCGAATTTTTCCACCATTTTATTTTTTGGGAGGGGGACCGAAATTATCGTAAAATTCGGTCGAAAATTTCGATACCGAAATTTTCGCCCAAAAAATGAAAAATTCGGCGAAATTTTGCACCCTGAGTGGGCGGGTGTGTGACTTGCGGCCCACTATCACTGGCACTTCCGCCTGCTCCCATGCAAACTGCTGATACACCTCCACCATGGGGAGAGCCTGGGGAGGGGAGGGGGGAAGAGGAGAGAGGGGGAAGGGTGTGGTAGTGGAAAGCAGGGTGCAAAATTTCGCTGAATTTTTCATTTTTTGGGCGAAAATTTCGCCATCGAAATTTTCGACCGAATTTTTCGATAATTTCGGTCCCCCTCCCAAAAAACAAAATGGTGGAAAATTTCGCCGAAATTTTCAGGAAAAAAAAATGAGAAATTCGTGTGTAAATTGATAAAATTCATGGGTGGACATTGTAATGGCATTTCGCCATTAGATCTAGGGCGGATCTGGCATTTCGCCATTAGATCTAGGGCGGATCTGGCATTTCGCCATTAGATCTAGGGCGGATCTGGCATTTCGCCATTAGATCTAGGGCGGATCTGGCATTTCGCCATTAGATCTAGGGTGGATCTGGCATTTCGCCATTAAATCTAAGGCGGATCTGGCGTTTCGTAGCCAGAGAAATTTAGGCAGTTTTTTTTTTTTTTTTAATAATATGTCTATTAAAATTTCGCCGAAATTTTACAAAAACGGCCGTAATTTTCGATCGAAAAATTCGGTTCGAAATTTTCGCTTAGCGCAATTTTCCACCTTGGTGGAAAGGTCCGTCCCTGTGGCTCTCAACCCATCCCACTGTGATGAGACGATTTTTTAGTCGCCTCCAATATCATCCCACTGCCCTGGTTTGAGAAATCTCACCCCTGCTTGCTTCCATGCAAACCCCCAATACACCTTGCTCCTTCCCTCCTTCTCTCCCTACGGCCCATAGACCTCACCTCCATTCACTCCTGCTTACTGCTTGTTCCCTCATGCTCTCACCTCCTCCTCGGCCTCCTCCCTGCTAGCATGCGCCGTGTGCCCCTCCTGCCACAGGAACTCCAGAGTGCGCACAAACGGTGGGCGCAGCTCACCTTCATCACCTCTCCTTCCCGTTCCCCTCCCTACCCCCCTCACCTCCTCCTCAGCCTCCTCCCTACTGGAGTGCGCCGTGTGCCCCTCCTGCCACAGGAACTCCAGAGTGCGCACAAACGGCCGCGTGCTCATCTCCCACCGCGTCACGTTCGCCCACTGGTTGATCAGCAGGGGCAGGTCTCTGTAGCTCTGAATCCACTGCGCAAACATGTGATTCACGATCGTCTCACTCGTGGGACGGACCTGGAATGAGGAGTGAAGGGCAGTGGGAAAGAAAAGAAGAGAATGGGGAACAAGCGAATGCGGAAGAATAAACAAGGGGGGGTAATCAGCAAAGGCAGGTCGCGGTAGCTTTGAATCCACTGCGCAAACATGTGATTCACGATCGTCTCACTCGTGGGACGGACCTGGAATGAGAGCAATGTGAAGAAACAAGCAACAAAAGGAGGGGAAGAAGCAAGGGATATTGATCAGCAGAGGCAGGTCTCTGTAGCTCTGAATCCACTGCGCGAACATGTGATTCACAATCGTCTCACTGGTGGGACGGACCTGCAATGGGAAATGAAGGGCAATGGGAAACAAGAGAACGAGGAAGAATGAACAAAGGGGGTTTGATCAGCAGGGGGAGGTCCTGTGCTCTGAATCCACTGCGCGAACATGTGATTCACGATCGTCTCACCGGTGGGACGGACCTGTTGTGGCAGCCATGTGAACAACGCACACACACAAGCGATACAGAAGGAGGGTTCATCAGCAGAGGGAGGTCCCTGTAGCTCTGGATCCACCGGGACACAATCGTCTCACTCGTGGGACACACCTGGAATTGGGAGTGCAGGACAGTGGACAAGAAGAGAATAAGGAAGACTCAACTAGGGGAAGTTGATCAGGAGGGGCAGGTCCCAGTAGTTCTGGATCCACTGCGCCAACATGTGATTCACTCACTAGCGTCTCACTGGTGATGATAACCTCTCTATCTTCCGCTATAGTCACACAGACCACAGCACACTCACCACACCCCCCCCTCTTCAAGCTCCATCCTTTCCCATTATAATCACATACACACAAACGGAGCACACTTCCCAGTGCATGTGCATTTTATCTGTCTGCAGTCACACTCATACAAAGCACACTCACCACCAGCCTCTCCTCAAGCTCGTTCTCTTCACTATAGTCACACGTGGCCGAACTCAGCACACACACACTCACCACCAGCCTCTCCTCAAGCTCCTTGCCTCCCCCTATAGTCACAAGCGCCAGCTCAGGAGAAAAGCCCTCCACGTGGGATGCCTCTTTTTCGATAAAAGAATATGGGATGAACTGAGGGGAGTGGAGGGAAGGGCGGGGAAGGGGGGGGGGCGAGTGGGAAAGTTGGAGCAAAGGAGAAGCTTCGATGGTTCAACAAGGGACGGGTTTTTGGTGAGAATCCTTGCAAATAGCATGAATTTCAATGGGAGGGGGGTAATTTCAACAGAACAGCGGGAAGAGAGTGGGAGGGGTGGGGGGTGACTAGGGGAAGAGGCGAAGGAGAGGGGGAGAGATTACAAAAGACCGAATTCCCAAAAGGATTTCACTCACCTGTGGAAAGTACATGTTCTCGTGCCCCGTCTCCTTGAACTTGCGGTCGAGCCACGACTGGCGGGGTTTTGCGAGGGGTTTAGGGGGCGGGAGGGGGGCAGGAGGGGTTTGCTGGCAGGGTTTTGAGGGGGTAGACATTGTGCATGCGCGCACATGCATCCGTGAACGCACATGAGCGACCGTGCTCTGCCTCGAACCACGCACCCAATCGTTCTGCTCTGGCTGAACTGAACCCACCCGAAATATGAAAATCACTTATGAGAATTTTCAAAAGTTATCTCAACCCACATCCACCATACCATCGAGGCTTGCCCCACCTGGATCGGCGTTCGAGGCTTTTGAGGCTTTTTAGGCGCCTCAAAGTCTGGCTGGCTGAACCCACCTGGATCGCCTCCCAAATGGCGTGGCTGTACGGGCGGATCACCATCGTGCCGCGCACAATTGAAAACACCATTGAGTCAGCCGGATGGATGCTCTAAAAACCCTCCCTGTAAGCCCGCCGACCTGAATCGACTCCCAGATCGCGTAGCCGTACGGGCGGATCACCATCGTGCCGCGCACATTCCGAAACACCACCGCCAGCCAGATGGGTGCTCTAAAACCCTACCCTACCGCACGTTGCCGAATTCTACCGAAGCCCGCCCACCTGGATCGCCTCCCAGATGGCGTAGCCGTACGGGCGGATCACCATCGTGCCGCGCACTGGGCCATAATCCGCCAGCTCAGCCTCGCGAATCACGTCCAGATACCACCGACTGAAATTCTCCGACCGCGACGCGATCTTCGACGCTTCCGCGGATGCCGCGCCGCTTTTCCCGCCAGCCTTTCCGCCGCCTTTCCCCTGACATTCCCCGCCGCCTCCCCCTTTCTCCCCCCCTTTGCCCTTCTTGGCGGAAGCTTCCGGCTCCGCTGCGCTTCCCGCGAGTCCTTCCGCAGTCCGCGTTTCCACCGTCGGATCGGCGGATTCGCAGCGGATCGCGGGGGAGGCGGAATTGGTGGACGAACCGGCGGAAGCGAACCGACTCCGCCACGCTGGGGGGAGTAGAATCGATGGTGACGTGGCACTAAATGATTGGAGGAAGCCTCCGGCGACGGCGGAAGTGGAGGAGGAGAAAGAGGGGGAGCGGAGGAGCATGGGGCGGACAATGGGCGCGCGGAGACACGACGCCATTGTAATTAATAGAGGCGGATGATTAATAAATGCAGGAGAAATTAAATGCCGGTGCTCGCGTCGTCTGGAGAAACTATATGCCTCTTTCCTGGCTGGCGATGAGGAATCGAATGCGGGTTTTACGGAACGCAACAAAAAAGGCGGTGCGCGCGAGGCGAAACGACGCAGGCAAGTCTAGTATGACTTCGCCTTATCACTTCCGCCAGGTAAGGCGGGTTGTCGGTCGTTTGGAGAATAGACGTCTGGTGCGCTTCGAACTACGTAGTGTACAGGGTCTGGCGATAGTTCGCCCGCCAATCATTGGCTTAAAAATGCCAGGCTGGACTTGAGGCAACACTTGGCAAGTGCAAAGGGTAGTGTGATTCGTAGGACGAGATTGTGGATTCCGCTGCGCCACGTCATGAATGGATGGGTTTCGATACAGGCCAGGTCCCACATTTGCCATGTATGCAACTCTCAACACGTCTTCCTCAACACCTCTCACCATCAATGTATACAGCCCAAATTGTTCTAGTTTGCCAACACCAAAGCATTATCTTTAATGACAGATTACCCACACTTTTGCCTCAATCATAGGATAGTCCCTGTTCCACCCTCTTAAAATATAATCTCCAGGATGATTTAAATATCAGAGCGTATATTTTTAAAATCAACAATTCTGAGCGCGCATCATCTTAATAAATCTAACATCATCATCATTTTTACTGCATAGAATGTGAACTAGATAGGCCAGCCCTTACAACTCACATATTTTTTTCCCAAATTCCTCTCCAGAATCCAGTCCAAAACCAGAGTCCCTTGTTAGTGCCCTCTATACTCTCATCTCATCCTCACTAACATTGAATTGAAGTTCTCTATAATGTACATATAACTACGACAACCGTGAGAGCATAAACCCTTGTTCAAAAATAGCAGCGGCATACGTGCCGGTAAATTCGGAACGTACGTGACACAACACAGAACGGCAAGCACGTGTCCCCTTGGTAATTTGCCACTTTTATCTCCTAAGTGTGGGGCTTCACATGCACACGTCGCGATTGGACAATAATCCAGAGTTCTTGACGAGTCGTCGATCAAGATTGGTTCCGCTGATGTGGAGTCTTCACTTGGTGACGCCTGTATATGAAACGGAGTCGTTTGTGAATTTCGTCGTGATTCCTTGCTCCAGTATCCGCCACTGTGCTGTACTGTACTGTATTGAATTTGCATTGGTACCGTTTACACAGTTCATGTACGAAGACAGATGTGACCCATCGCGTGTGCAAATGTTGCCAGTCCCTTCGTGTTTACACCTGTCCAAACAAATGCAGTGGCTAGCCTAAACGTACAGCATTCGAAATCTGTACTGGTGTTCCCATACCCCTGCCTTTTGCTACCCAGCAGCATATAAACGGGCAACAATATAAACAAATAAAAACTGTGGGCATTGTATGTATTGAGAGTAAAATCAAAATGTGCGCTTCGGACTTCCCTCCCATCCGTCACGACCCGCTTTTAATGCCAGCGAGCCGCTCCTCCCCCCTCAGTTGCTGCTCTGGCTGGCCCACTCAGTTTTTTGGCTCGCAGTCGCAGAACCAACTGCTCTGGCTGTCGCACGTTTGGGTCAGACGGATATGTGTTCCATCCCATCTCCCAGATCGCGGACAACGGGCCGAGTTTAGGGCGCGTGTGATCGGTGGAATTTGTGAAAGTTTACATTTTAAGGGCGAGTTGTGCTACATGAACATATGTCGAACCAAACTCGACTTTCATTGTATCGGGGTTCGCACATCTGGACCACAACACTGCAGAAAAGCACACACATATACAAGGTCGAGTGCGCGTATTCGAACTTGTAAAAACGCACCGAACCGCATTTCTACAAAGTAGGTTACCCGGTTCTAAAAAGTAGGTTACCCGATTATCGCCACGTGGTCTCTATTCAGTACACGAAGGCTGTGGTGAGTTCGTTGTGAAACTGTTGCTACTCGTGAGTCGCTCGCACATTTCGCCAGATGCTCGAACGTGCGGGAAATCACACACGTGAATGTGAACATGCCGAAGCACGTTCACAACTAAAACTCGAGTCTTGTTCAAGTTTGCAGTTCGCATGTTGCCAAACCCAAAGTTGACGAAGTTTCGCTCGTAGCTTTATGCGACATTGGCGAAACTGGTAACCACACAAAGTTCGCACTTTTTTTTGAATTTCAAATCCGACCTCACACGCCCTTAGTGGACGGTGCTGCAAAAGCACAATGCCCGCACCACTCCCCAACTGGCTCCCTTTTTGAGTCAAAAATGTCGAAGGAACAAAATCTCGTCAACCGATCCGCTCCGTCGGTGCAGTGGTTGAAGCACACATCATGGCCCAAAAAGATGCTCTTGCTCGCGACATTCACCAACCACTTTGGGTTTCCGGAATTCTCGTCCAGAAATCACCACAAATTACCACCATCCAGATGCAAATGGGATGAGAAGGCAGTCAGCAAGTGATGCACAATCACGAGCTTCTTGGTTCAAATTGACCAATGGAGGGTCAAGGCTTCGCCCTTATCCACTCCTTTGCACACACACGCACGCGAGGACCTCCGCACCGCACCGCACCCCAGGCACGCGACAACATAAAATAAAAAAATCTTCCTCGGGCACGGGCACGCCCTGCGAGCCGCCTAGAGGGCTGGGTAGCCATTGGATAGGTCACTGAGGTAAGGAGTCGAGGCGAGGACTCCTTGGCTTGGTGGATAACAGTTCCGTGAACATTAATTTTGATTGATATGACACAGAGATGTTCTAGAGCACTACAAAGGGGCACGCACAGTTGTAGGCCTGATATCACTCGAATACGTACAAGAGTGACAGCCTCGCAAAGGCTCTGTTTGCCACCTCGCGCACGAGGGATCAACAGTTTAGAGCAGCTACATTACTACCACCACACTACTGTACTCGGAACCGAGTTTCGCAATTCGACATATGTTCTGGTCCGCCGGGAGGGCGACTGGGCTTCGCCGGATCCAACCAACCTCCGCTCTGCGAACGATTTCAAAAATCCCGCATAGCATGCCGCAGCGCAAGGCCCCGATTTTTCCGGTCTGGCAGACGAGAGCTGCAAGTCACTCCGGCCGAACTAGAGCCCGGCAAAGCGCATAGATAAACGACCGACAGATCGAGAAACAGAATGTGTCGCCGCTCGATTTTCACGTACCTTGGTGGTAGTAATAGTATCACGATTTGTGCATTGAACGCGCGTCGCGGCGTTCCCTCTCCCTTTGTACATCTGATCTTGAGTCGAGATCGTGACTTAGGACGTGCGGAACGAATACTTGTAGATTGTAGTAAACGGTTGCCGCAACCGTCGCTCGCCGATGTACAGATTACGTGACAATTTCGAATTGCATCAGTAGTGGAGTCAGCGGTCGTTCGACTGTAGCGGCAATTTCCGGATTTTCTTGAAAGAACTCAAGCGGACTTTTCAAAGGAGCGGGCTGCGGGTCGCAAGCGACAAGACGGCGAGATCTGAGTTCTCAGAACTCAACTTTTATCACGTGGATTGAAGCTTCAGGTACACGCTGAACTCAGCTGACAGTGACACTGGCAGTGCGGCGAAAGAAGCGGGTCGCGGAATGGACGGCGGCAAGCGCGGCGACTCGGGAGGAGCGGACGACGATATGGCCGACGAGGTGGGCGACAATGGAGCGGGTGATGCAGCAGCGGGCGACAGAACTGGCGACTCGGGCGACGAATTCGGCGACTCTACGCCGTCAGCAGCGCTGCTGCTCTTGAGTCAGCACGGTCCAACTTGGAAGATAAACACGCCGCGATCACTTCATCATGATTACCGGAGTCCAGTCAACGACGCGCCGCGTCCAACCCCAACGGCAGCGGCAGCAGCAGGGTTAACGACTGCGGTAGGGGCGGCGGATGATGCGACGGCGGTTGCGGCGGCAGCATTGATGGTGCCGCCATTGTTCCGCGTCCCGCCGCCATCTGGAGCCGCGAAAATTGCCTCCGCGGCGGCCGGCAACGCGGGGGCTGCGGCAGCAGCGCTTTCTCCTCCGGATCCCGCGTCAAAGCGCCAAGTAGGAAGCTTCCTCGAAGACGAGTCCCCGCGGGGACGTAGCAGAAGGAAGCGCGAGCCGCTCGCCACCGCCGATGCCGCCGCTAGTGCAGCAGCAGACGAAGGCGGAGCTGGCGGCGCTGGCGGCGGCGGCGGCGGCGGAGGGAACGGAGGTAGAGGCGTTGCTGCTGCTACAGCCGCTGCTCCTGCTGCTGCTACTCCTCGGGGCCGCGGGAAAGCAAGGATAGATAAATCAGCAGCATCGCGGGAGTTTGAGGATTCTTGTAACAAGATGCTGGCTGCTGCCATCGCCCGCAACCTGCGCGCGCGGCTGGCATCCCAACAGCAGCCTCAGATTCAGCCACGTCAGCAGCAGCTCCGGCCGCTTCGGCAGCTGCTTCAGCAGCAGCAGCAGCAGCCTACTCGTATCACCAGCAGCGCAAGGTCCCCCAATCAGCTTCAGCCCCAGCACGTGACAGACGAGAGTGTACCCTCGCCCATGCCACCATCATTCGCTGCAGTGCATGGGCCGCAAGCAGGGATGGAAGCTCTGAGGCAGCCGTTTGGCTCGTCACCCTCAGAAGCTTCTGGAAATCGGGCTCCCATGGATGTCACTCCAGGGCCAGCGCCTCAAGTCAGTCCAATTTTGGATGCGGCTCCAGGATTTCGGGTCGGCAGTGGCGACGGCAGTGGCTGTAATGTTGATGGCGACGGAGGTAAGGGTGCTGGCGGTGGTGCTGGTGGTCGTGGTGATGATGCTGGTGACGCGGACGATGCCACGAGTAGCGCTCCAATGGATGTGTCCGGCCACCAATTCGGAGGTGATTATAATGAGGGCTTTTTGCCGAAACTCGGTGCAGTGACGATTACCCGAAGCCGCACCGTTCCTCTGCGGCCCGACCTCTCTCTCAGGCTGAATCGGCCGCTCGGGTTTGGGTCCCTCTCGTGGCCGCGCTCTCCTGCCTCTTCTGCTGCTGCTCCAGGAGCTTACGCGACCGCTCCTGCTGCTGCTGCTGCTGCTGCTGCTGCTGCTGCTGCTGCTGCTGCTGCTGCTGCTGCTGCTGCTGCTGCTGCTGCTGCTGCTGCTGCTGCTGCTGATAACGATGATGACAATGGTGCTGGTGGCAATGCTGCTGGTGCCAATGCTGTTGATGGAAGACACGTTACGGGTGCCCCAGCTTCTCTCCTCAGGACTGCAACTGCAGTCGGCTGGCCCGCCCCTGCCCCATCTGCTGCTGTTGCTGGCTTGCCAATCCCTGCCTCATCTGCTGCTTTTGCCAAATGGCCTGGCCCTGCCGCGTCTGTTGCTGTTGCTGACTGGCCAGCCTCGCAGGGTGCAGCGTCTGCTGCTGCGGCTAATCTGACAGGTGTTTGTGAGAGTTTAAAAAAACCATCCTCGCAGGGTGGTGGTGCGTCTGCTGCTGTGGCTGACCTGACAGGTGTGGTGCACAGATTGTCATCCAGTGAGCAAATCCCCTTGTCATCCTTTCAAACCTCTCAAGCCACTCACGCCTCTCAAGCCACTCACGCCTCTCAAGCCACTCAGGTCTTTCAGACCTCTCAAGCCCCGCACGCACACCTGAAAGGCTCAGGCACTATCCCTCCGGCCATGCATGCTCCAGGCGTGCATGTTCCAGCCATCGACGCCCTTGGCATGCATGCTCCGCGCTTCCTCGCTCCTTCCCCTCCTCGCTTCCACGCTCCTTCCCCTCCTCTCATCCCTGCTGCGCCGCCTCTCTCCGCTACCAACGCTGCGTCCCCGTCCGTGCATGCATCCTCATTCTCCGATCCCACAGCCATGCTACACTCCTCCTCTCTCTCGCCGCCCATTCCCGTTATGGTCCATGCTGCCACTGTAGCATCCTTGGTAGAGCCTACTTTGCCTGCCCTTGAGCAACAGCATCTCTGGCACCGTACCTTGCAGCTCGCACAAGGGCTAGATCAGGCCGGTGGAAGCAGCAGCGGGGGTGCGGGGAATGCTCGACAGCTGCAAGCTACAGAGGGGTCTTACCAGCCGGAGCAACCACAGGAAGCAGCATCGGCATCGGAAGCGGCAGCGGCAGCGGCAGCGGCAGCAGCGTTTTCAGCAGCGCTTGTGCGAACCACCAGAGGACTTTCGTCGTTGAACACGCACGTGCCTGAAGGACCGGAGACACTGCGTGCTGCAGGTCCGGCAGCAGGCTCGGCGATGTTCGCGGGAGGGATGGTAGGGGAGGAGAAGGGTCCGGCCGGACCTATGGCTGGTCCGGTGGCAGCTTCGACAGGTACGGAAGGGGGTGTGCATGCGAGGGGTCGTATGATTGTGGCACGGAGTGCGTGGGCACAAGATCTAATTGCGAGGCATATAAAGGACAACCTACATCAAGGGAGTGACGTGAAAATCATGCAGCAGCAGATTGCATATTCGGGGTTGAGTCACTATGAAACACAAACAGGGGTGCCTCAAGTTACGGAGGTACAGCAACGGCCGATCACACAGCTTTCTTCCCCCACTGTGGCTATGGAGAGGGATGGAAGTATGGATGACAACAGCAGGCTTACGTTAGGTGTACAAATGACACGGATCCAGTCAACAGGTCGCCATGAACATACGACCCATGGCGCAAACACATCTGTACATAGCCACTCACTACATGATGCTGAACGAGGAGAGACGGAGAATACACGGAGTGAAGATAAGGGAGTGTTCCTTTTTGGGAAGCGTGTAATATAGCTTAGGAACCTTGCACAATGCTTGTGTTTTTGTCTATCTTGTATATCCACCTATACTATTTATTGATTCGTTCCCACTGTGGATCCATGTATAATATCTAGGTGCTTCATGGCGAAGCCTTGGGAGGCGAACTGCGAGAAATTTTGAAAGCTCGTCCGACGGGCAGCCTTGGAACTGCCATTTCGGCTGCGCGTCGAAAAAAAATCGCGAACCCCGCCGCGGCGTGTCAAGGCATCTCGTTTCAGCCTTCACCACCACTACCCTCGATTTACGATTTTCCGAACCATTCCCTAGCTTTTCCTTCCATTTCCTAGCTGTTCCTTCTCGTATGTCCCTCTCGTCTGCTTCTCTCCTCCGCCTGCTTGGTTTCCCCTCCACCTCCATTGCCAAGGCTCTAAGAGGCTATTCGTCGCCTCGTTTTGGGAATAGGTCGCTTGCTACGCCATTATTTTCGTCTTGCAACGTTTTTGTCGTCAGGCGCCCTTTCTCGATCGTTAAACGGTGGAGTGATCGACCTAGCAGAGGAACGCAAAAGAAATTAAATATAATCATGGCGACAGCTGCAGAAAACGGCCATGAAACCGCCGCGAATGCCGCTGCAGAGAAGTCAGTAACCCCTTCAGAAACCCTCCAGGGGGTTCCGCCGTCAGTTTTAACGTCAACGTCAAAACGCTCCGTCGTGCTCGTGCTCGATTTCGGATCGCAGTACACTCAGCTAATCACGCGCCGCATTCGCGAGCTCGGGGTCTACTCCGTCAGCCTGCCGGCCGGCGTGCCGTTAGATCAAATCCAGGCCGTCCATCCGACGATCATCATTCTCTCCGGCGGGCCGAACTCCGTGCACGAGGAAGGTTCGCCGACGGTTCCCGAGGGTTTTTTCGAATATGCGGTAGAAAAGGGTATTACGGTTCTTGGGATTTGCTATGGCATGCAGTTGATCGTGAAGACGCTGGGTGGTGACGTGGCGCGAGCCGAGGCGCAGGAATACGGACGGATGGATATCGTGGCGGATTGCGATTCGGCGCTCTTTGGCGGGAGCGACGCGGGAGGCGAGGAACCTGAGAAGAAGAAGGCGAAGAATGAATCGCGGCAGGTAACGGGTTACCGCCACTACGTGCGACATGTCAATGGTTACCATCACAGAATGCCGTTGTACCTGTTCTCGGCGTAAACTCTTGTTCTCGCCAGACTGTTGGAACAAGCCACTAAACCCAAATATTTTACGAACGCTATCCAAAAGGTTTTACGAACTGTGGATGTCGTCCTGGTCACTGTCGCCTGACTCCTTACAAAACCCTGTACCCGACAGACCCTCTGGATGAGCCACCGCGACGGGCGACGAAGCTATCCAAGGATTTTACGAACATTTCTTGACCCTGCTACAAGCACTTGATCTCGTTATAATCACCTATCTCGACTCAAAACCCTGTATCGTTATAAACCCCTGTCCCCGACAGACTGTGTGGATGAGCCATGGCGACGAGGCGACGAAGCTTCCAGAGGGGTTCAAAGTGGTGGCGCGCAGCGACCAGGGCACGGTGGTGGCGATTGAGTGCACTACACGCAAGATATTCGGCCTGCAATACCACCCCGAGGTGGGTGTTTGGAAGGGGAGGAGGATTGATGAGGGTATTGCGTGAGGGCGCGTGAAGGGAAGAGCATGAGTGCACTGCACGCAAGATATTTGGCCTGCAATACCACTCCAAGGTGGGTGAATGGGAAGAAAGTAGGAAGAAATCCGGCAAGAAGGGGGTTCGAAGGGAGAGTGAGGGAGGGAGTATGCGTGCATCTCACGCAAGATATTCGGCCTGCAGTACCACCCCGAGGTGCGTGAGGTGAAGGGAGAGGGGAGAGGGGCGCAGGGCCGAAGGGAGAGGGGCGAGGGGCGAGCGGCGAGAGTGTCGGAAGGGAGAGACCATAAGAACCGCACACATTCATTTCGGCTTTACAGGAAATTGCAGTGCCGCTTCTCAGAGGTCATGCACGGTGACTCCTTCACCCCCCTCCCCACACACGCAGGTGACCCACACCCCCAGGGGCATGGAGACGCTTCGCCGTGTGATCTTTGACATTGGGGGGGCGCATGCTGACTGGCAGATGCAGGAGGTGCCTTCAGACGGGTAGAGTATCCTGTCGCCTGTTTCCAGTTTCCACTTCCCCCCCTCCCCTCCCCTCCCCTCCCCTCCCCTCCCCTCCCCTCCCCTCCCCTCCCCTCCCCTCCCCTCCCCTCCCCTCCCCCCCCCCCCCCCCCCCCCCCCCCCTCCCCTCCCCCCCCCCCCACACCCCCCCTCTAACAGGTGACCCACACCCCCAGGGGCATGGAGACGCTTCGCCGCGTGATCTTTGACATTGGGTGGCGCTTATGCTGATTGGCAGATGCAGGAGGTGCCTTTTTGATGGGGTGAATTGTCCTTTCACCTGTTTCCAGTTACCCCTTTCCCCCCCTTTCTCTCACTCTGTCCCCCTCACCCCCACACACACAGGTGACCCACACCCCCAGGGGCATGGAGACGCTTCGCCGCGTGATCTTTGATATTGGGGGCGCGCATGCTGACTGGCAGATGCAGGAGGTGCCTTTTTGATGGGGTGAATTGTCCTTTCACCTGTTTCCAGTTACCCCTTTCCCCCCCTTTCTCTCACTCTGTCCCCCTCACCCCCACACACACAGGTGACCCACACCCCCAGGGGCATGGAGACGCTTCGCCGCGTGATCTTTGATATTGGGGGCGCGCATGCTGACTGGCAGATGCAGGAGGTGCTGGATGAGGCGATCTCAGCCGTCCAAGCGGCTGTGGGGCCAGAGAAGCACGCGGTGTGCGCGCTGTCGGGCGGCGTTGACTCGACTGTAGCGGCCACTCTGGTGCACAAGGCGATTGGGGATCGCCTGCACTGCATTTTTGTGGATAACGGGCTGCTGCGGTGAGACTTCAAAGGGGTTTAGTGCGGTTCAATGTGGTTGTAAGTGGTGATGTAGTGAAAGAAAGGGGTGTTGACTCGACTGTAGCTTCCACGCTGGTGCACAAGGCGATTGGGGACCGCCTGCATTGCATCTTTGTGGACAACGGGCTGCTGCGGTGAGTTGTTTGTGGGGGTTTAGTGCGGTTCAATGTGGTTGTAAGTGGTGATGTAGTGAAAGAAAGGGGCGTTGACTCGACTGTAGTGGCCACTCTGGTGCACAAGGCGATTGGGGACCGCCTGCACTGCATCTTTGTGGATAATGGGCTGCTGCGGTGAGTCTTTAAGTGGGGTTTAGTGGGGTTCAATGTGGTTTTTGCTGGTGCACCGGACGATTGGGGATCGCCTGCACGGCATCTTTGTGGATAACGGGCTGCTGCGGTGAGTTGTTTGTGGGGTTTAGTGCGGTTTAAAGCAGTTTCCAAGTGGTGGCGTAGTGAAAGAAAGGGGTGTTGACTGTAAAGGCCACGCTGGTGCACAAGGCGATTGGGGATCGCCTTCACTGCATCTTTGTGGATAACGGGCTGCTGCGGTGAGTGGTACATGGGAGTGGGTTTAGGAGGGTTACGGCTGGGTTCAGTGCGGTTCTGTAGTTTGGGGAAGGAGAAGACACAGCCCTAATCCTAACCCCTAATTACAGACTTCTCTCCCCCCCAGGTTCCAGGAGCAGCAGCGGGTGATGGCCATGTTTGAGGCGGACCTGCATCTGCCAGTCACCTGTGTGGACGCGTCTGACCGCTTCCTCTCCAAGCTCAGGGGCGTCACGGACCCCGAGAGGAAGAGGCGCACCACTCAGTGCATTCAGCCCCCTTTCTCCTCCCAAACCCTAAACCCCGACCCCTCTTTCCACCCTCATACCCACCCCCAACCCGTCCCCCACCCGCCCCCACCCACCCTTTCTCTCCCCCCCAGCTTCCAGGAGCAGCAGCGGGTGATGGCGATGTTTGAGGCGGACCTGCATCTGCCAGTCACCTGTGTGGACGCGTCTGACCGCTTCCCCCTCCCCCTCCACCTCCCTCGCCTCCCCCCAACCCCCCAACACCCCAGGTTCCAGGAGCAGCAGCGGGTGATGGCCATGTTTGAGGCGAACCTCCATCTGCCGGTCACCTGTGTGGACGCGTCTGACCGCTTCCTCTCCAAGCTCAGGGGCGTCACGGACCCGGAGAAAAAGAGGCACACCACTCAGTGCATCGAGCCCCCTTTCTCCCCCTAAACCCTGAACCTCGGCCCCGTCAATCCACCCCGTACCCAACCCCACGCTCGCCCCAACCCCAACCCCTACCTCCCAGGTTCCAGGAGCAGCAGCGGGTGATGGCAATGTTTGAGGCAGACCTGCATCTGCCAGTCACCTGTGTGGACGCGCCTTCGATCCCCCCTCCCCTCCCCCCCCCCCCTCCACTCCCCTTCTTTCCCCCCCTCCCCCCCCCCAGCTTCCAGGAGCAGCAGCGGGTGATGGCCATGTTTGAGGCGGACCTGCATCTGCCAGTCACCTGTGTGGACGCGTCTGACCGCTTCCTCTCCAAGCTCAGGGGCGTCACGGACCCCGAGAAGAAGAGGCGCATCATTGGGGCGGAGTTCATCGGCGTTTTCGACGACTTTGCGAGCGAGCTAGAGGCAAAGCTGGGGCACCGACCAGAGTGTTTGGTGCAAGGTGGGTGAACCGATTCATCAAAGGTTGGCATCAATCAGAGTGCCTGTTGCATGGTGAGTGTTTGTGGGGTCGACGCACGAGGGTGGGAAGAGGGAGGTAGAGGAGAGCCGCTGCTTCCTCTCCAAGCTCAAGGGCGTCACGGACCCCGAGAGGAAGAGGCGCATCATTGGGGCGGAGTTCATCAGCGTTTTTGACGACTTTGCGAGTGAACTGGAGGCGAAATTGGGGCACCGACCCGAATGCCTGGTGCAAGGTGAGGGGGAGAGAGGGGGAGGAAGAGAGAGGAAGAGGCGCATCATCGGGGCGGAGTTCATTGGCGTGTTTGATTGATGATTTTGCGAGTCAATTGGAGGCGAAATTGGGCCACCGACCCGAGTGCCTGGTGTAAGGTGAGGTGCATTGAGAGAGGGAGGGAGGGGAGGGAGGGAGAGGAAGAGGCGCATCATTGGGGCGGAGTTCATCGGCGTTTTCGACGACTTCGCGAGTGAATTGGAGGCGAAATTGGGGCACCGACCCGAGTGCCTGGTGCAGGGTAAGCCGGATTCAGAGAGGGAGGGAGGGAGGAAGAGAGAGGAAGAGGCGCATCATCGGGGCGGAGTTCATTGGCGTTTTTTATGACTTAACGAGTGAACTGGAGGCGAAGCTGGGGCACCGACCAGAGTGCCTGGTGCAAGGTGGGTGGTTGCGGTTGTGGTGTTGTTATGGGTTGGAGCGAGTGTGGTGCAAGAGCGAGGCTGGGGAGCAATCGCTTCCTCTCCAACCTTTTTCTCAAGTTTTCTATGCCCGGTCGTGACCGAGCTGTCGACACAACCGCTTTCCAGGTACATTGTATCTGGACATGTGCAAATCCCCCCCTCTGACCCCTTCCTCCTCTCCCCTCTCCTCCCCCCCCCCCCTTCGTCCCCCTCGTCCCCCTCCTCCCCAACCTCTTCCAGGTACACTGTATCCGGACGTGATTGAGTCCTCTAAAGTAACATCCCATCTGCCCCCCCAAACTGTTCTGGTCCAGGTACACTGTATCCGGACGTGATTGAGTCCTCTAAAGTAACATCCCATCTGCCCCCCCAAACTGTTCTGGTCCAGGTACACTGTATCCGGACGTGATTGAGTCCTCTAAAGTAACATCCCATCTGCCCCCCCAAACTGTTCTGGTCCAGGTACACTGTATCCGGACGTGATTGAGTCGTGCCCGCCGCCCGGCAGTGGGAAGAAGCACTCGCACACCATCAAGAGCCACCACAACGTGGGTGGTTTACCCGAGAATATGCGCTTTACCCTCGTGGAGCCCCTCAAATGGCTGTTCAAGGACGAGGTGAGGGACGGCGAAGAAGAAAATAAGAGGGGTGGGGTGGTTTACCCGAGGTTATACAGTTTACCACCCTCGTGTGGAGCCTAAGATGGCTGTTTAAGGACGAGGTGAGGGATGGGGGGAGGGGGAGAGAGGGGCAGGGTGGTTTACCCGAGATTATGCGCATTACCCTCGTGGAGCCCATGAAATGGCTTCTCAAGGGGGAGGCGAGGGAGAGTGGAAGAGCAAAAGGGGGGGGGGGGGGAGAGGGGAGGAGTGGAGTGGGTAGTGAGGGGTGAGGGGTGTGGGGTGTTTTTGGGGAACCGCGGAAGTAGGAGGGGGGTTTGGGGAAGAAAGAGGAGCGGACTGAGAGAAAAGAGTGGTGGGGATGGGGAGCAACGGCAGGGAGTCAGGGAGCTATGGAATGAGCTGGATGAAGTGTCAATAAGTGGAGTATCTGGGGGTAGGTTAAGATCGGCGTTCTGCTCAACGTCCCCGCCTCCTTCCTCTCCCGCCACCCCTTCCCTCTCCTCCCCAAGAATACAAAAAAATGAATCTCTTTGCCTCTTCTCTTTCTCTCCCATCTTCTCCCCCCCTCGCCCCCCTCCCAGGCGCGCAAGATCGGGGCTCTGCTCAACGTCCCAGCCTCCTTCCTCTCTCGCCATCCCTTCCCCGGACCTGGCCTTGCGGTTCGGGTGCTGGGGGACGTGTGCGCAGACGGGGCGCTCGACACCATTCGCCAGGTACGGACTGCTCGCCAGGTACGGACTGCTCGCCAGGTACGGACTGCTCGCCAGGTACGGACTGCTCGCCAGGTGCGGATTGCTCGCCAGGTGCGGATTGCTCGCCAGGTACGGACTGCTTGCTAGGTACGGACTGCTTGCTAGGTACGGACTGCTTGTTAGGTACGGATTGCTCGCCAGGTATGGATTGCTTGCCAGGTATGGATTGCTCAGGGTAAGAAAAATACATAGCATCTGATAGCACTTCTCAGGTGCATTCAACCTTGCAGTTCGGGTGCATGTGTGCTGAATACGAGCTGGTTTTTGAGAATTCTCAAAAACCTTGCAGTTCGGGTGCATGTGTGCTGACTTGGCACTGGATGGACACTATTTGCCAGGTATGCATGGCCCTAGTAATCGGCTGTTCAACAATACACTGGGTACAGATCATGTCGCATCAGAAGCACCTGTGCTCACGTGGGATCTGGCCTTGTGGTTCGGGTGCTGGAGGACATGCTGTGCTGGAGGACATGCTGTGCTGGAGGACATTCAGTGTTCCCCATCTTCACTTCCCTCCCTTCCACTGTCTTCCCCCACATCATCACTTTGATCTAGTCTGGGCATCAAGTGGACGAGATATTCATCAACGCCATCAAGGAAGCAGGGCTGTACGACCAGATCTGGCAGGGTTCAATGGTTCCCCATCTTTCCTCCCCTCTTCCCCTGTTCTCTTGGTCCGTTCCCCTGTTCGATTCTCGGCATCAGGTGGATGGGATTTTTATCAACGCTATCAAGGAGGCCGGCCTGTACGACCAGATCTGGCGGGCGCACAGTGTTCCCTCCCTTTCCTTTCACCTCTCCCTGCCCCTCACACGCTTGTCCCCCATCAGGTGGACCGTGGATGAGATTTTCATCAATGCAATCAAGGAATCAGGCCTGTACGACCACATCTGGTTGGCATTTCATGCCTCTGTACCCATTGGTACCCCTCTAAGGTCATTCTTCTCCTTCTGTACATCTCTCAACCCGGTCCCTTCCCCCCATCAGGTGGATGAGATATTCATCAACTCCATCAAGGAGGCCGGCCTGTACGTTCAGATCTGGCAGGCGTTCAGCGTTCCCCTTTCTTTACTTCCTTCTCCCTCTCTACCCCTCTCAACCTTTTCGTACCCATCAGGTGGATGAGATTTTCATCAACTCCATCAAGGAGGCCGGCCTGTACAATCAGATCTGGCAGGCGTTTTTTCTTCACCATCCTCCCCTCTTCCCTATTCCCCTCCTCTAATGCCTTCCCTGCCCCTCACTACCCCTCTCAACCTTGCTGTACCCATCAGGTGGATGAGATATTCATCAATGCAATCAAGGAGGCAGGCCTGTACGATCAGATCTGGCAGGCATTCAGCGTTCCCCTTTCTTTGCTTCCTTGTCCCTCTCTACCCATCTCAACCTTTTCGTACCCATCAGGTGGATGAGATATTCATCAACTCCATCAAGGAGGCAGGCCTGTACGATCAGATCTGGCAGGCGTTTTTTCTTCACCATCCTCCCCTCTTCCCTATTCCCCTCTTCTAATGCCTTCCCTGCCCCTCACTACCCCTCTCAACCTTTTCGTACCCATCAGGTGGATGAGATATTCATCAACTCCATCAAGGAGGCAGGCCTGTACGATCAGATCTGGCAGGCGTTTTTTCTTCACCATCCTCCCCTCTTCCCTATTCCCCTCTTCTAATGCCTTCCCTGCCCCTCACTACCCCTCTCAACCTTTTCGTACACATCAGGTGGATGAGATATTCATCAATGCAATCAAGGAGGCCGGCCTGTACGATCAGATCTGGCAGGCGTTTGCCGTCTTCTTGCCGGTGCGGTCGGTGGGAGTGCAGGGCGACCGGCGCACACACTCCCATGTGGTGGCTCTCAGGGCGATTACAAGCCAAGACGGCATGACAGCAGACTGGTGAGGATGGGATGTGGTGGGGTTCGGTGGGGTGGGGTGGGTTGGGATGGGTCGCCGTCTTCTTGCCGGTGCGGTCGGTGGGAGTGCAGGGCGACCGGCGCACACACTCCCATGTGGTGGCTCTGAGGGCGATTACAAGCCAAGACGGCATGACAGCAGACTGGTGAGGATGGGATGTGGTGGGATGGGGTGGGGTGGGGTGGGTTGGGATGGGTCGCCGTCTTCTTGCCGGTGCGGTCGTTGGGAGTGCAGGGCGACAGGCGCACCCACTCCCACGTGGTGGCTCTGAGGGCTATTACAAGCCAAGACGGCATGACGGCAGACTGGTGAGTGGGATTGGACGGGGTGGGATGCGGTGGGATGGGGTGGGGTGGGGTGGGAGTGGCTGGAAGGGCTTATGGGTGCGGTCGGTGGGAGTGCAGGGGGACAGGCGCACTCATTCCCACCTGGTGGCGCTGAGGGCGCTTATGAGCCAAGATGCCATGACGGCTGATTGGTCAGTTGGGTGGGTCGGGTAGGTGGGCGTCTGGGGTAGGTAGTTGGGGTGGGATGTGGATACATGGGATGGTTTGAACACAGATAGAGACACTTTGGTATACATGGAATGGTATGTACACAGATGGAGACACTTGAAGGCAGTCGGGCACACAAGCTCACCACCATGTGTATGGCAACGAGTGCGAGAGCAATTCTTTCCGCTCTTCCCTGCTCTGTTCCCCTCTCTTTTTTCCCACTCTGGTCCTCCCTCACCCGCCCTATCACTCACTCTTCCCCCCCTTCCCTGCTCACCCCCGCTCCACAGGTTTGAGTTTGATACCAAGTTTCTCCGTGAAGTATCAGCGCGCATTTGCAACAGCGTCAGTGGTGTAAACCGGGTAGTGTATGATATCACATCCAAGCCGCCAGCTACAGTGGAATGGGAATAGTGGCAATGGGGAATGACAAACTCAGGGACGCTATTTGTAATCTGCTACGCACATACAAATGCATTCCTTTCAATGAACAACTCATGTGCCTTGTACGCTGTCCGCTTCCACTATTTTCTTTTGGTATTCTGCTGGGAGGTTTCTAAGGTGTGAGGTGAGATAAAACTTCTTTGTTCAATCAACATTTGCAATCAATCACTGGAGTTCATTGTAGCGAGAATATGAACGAGTGGACAACGAAGCCCACTGGCCAGTTCTGGATTCATCGGTGTTATCTGGTTCCTAATCGAGGCGCTTGCCACTGCTCCACCACGTCACCCCACACTATCCATGGGCCAGCTTGTGCCAACTGTACACGGGCTGCCATTGGTGAACTTGGGCCCTGCCTGGCTCGTCGTCTCCAAGCCTCTGGCCTGGTCACCTAGGGCACCTGGCTTGGAGGCAAACAACACATCTACAGATCAATGGCCACCTTGGGCTCGTCGCCGCTGGCCGAGCATTGGTAGCCCTCGATTCCCTCCCCTTCTAGACTGCCATCTATGTTGTCGTGGTGTGGCGTGGGGTGAATGAGGCAAGCTCGACTTGGCAGGGTGGGGCAGGTTTGGGGGAAATTATACGGGCAGTCACAATTAAGCCCTTTTTATCACGCTTGGTCACGGGGGTATCACGGACAGTCACAGTACAGTACATTGCTATCGCGCGTGATCACAGCGCTATCACGCGTGGTCACACCATGCCCCGCATACCTATCACGTTTGGTCTCTGGTTGAAACACCCGCCAAAAACTCCAAAATATACTGTACAGATTTTGGAAATGATTCGCTCACGCGCGTTTTTGTCCTTAGTACTACGAAAAAGTTTCGCGACAATTCTCGGTAACTAGTTGAAAACAACTTCAATCTCTTGTTACTAGTCGATTGTCCACTATTCGATTGAGGCATAATTCCCTAAGAATATCACTTTCACACGGGTGAAACTCGAAGGTTAATTTCTGTTCCCAAGACAAAAAAACTAAAACCCATTCGGATGGGATTTAATTCGGGATGCATCAACCCTAAATACCTTGTCGCATGGCGTTTAGGGTTGAGGCCTCCCGAAGGACGTGCAATCCAATAGGGGTTTATTTTTGTTTCTTCAGCCCCTAAATGTCAGGCCAGAATCATGCGCGTGGTAACAAGCAATCAATATTGGGATTCCCCAAAATATCTACATTTTTTTGTGTGGTTTCAAATTCATTATTATCGTTTCATCTAGTGACCAAACGTGATAGCATCCTCCTCCGGCATAGCTTCCTGTCAGAGACTTCTAAGTCTACAATATCAGCTTTAACTTAGTCAGTATCTTAATCTGAACCAGTTTCGGGATCTACAGACCAGGTGCTGACTATCGACACCAAAATTATGTCCACACAGCGGACATTGGTTCATCGAATCTGCTTCGTAAAGTTCCCGTTTTTTTCAGGTTAAATACTTTCAAGCTTCAGACATTGCTTAAGTTGTCCCGACGAAGAATACAATGGCTGGACAGGTCTTTACCAAAGATGACATCGGAAAAGCATTGCTGGTCATAGACATCGCGGAAAACTCAAGTTCAAACAAGTTTGTCAACGGAACATCTTCCGTTTATCTTCATTTGCAGCCATTCATCGACAACAACGTTTACCTCATGTAATGTCCAAGATCTTTACTCCGATTGCGACTAAAGTGCTTGATGATGAAGATGTTTTTCCTCCTGAAACGCTTAAGCATGAAGATCTAAACAAGAAACTCCAAGGTTTTTATGTTCAGCTAGAAGACAACGCTGACAATGACGCTGACCCTGAAACTCATGCAAACATGGCTGACTTTGGAAACGCTATTAAACTACAAGATGCGCATATGCAGCTGGAAGATAACGATTAATGGCGTGAAGGTTCTAAGGAGTTCCCGTCAGTGGGAGCTGAAAATTTTCGTGAAAGCAACTTGTTTCATGGAGAGAAAAGCAGATATGAGGTAGCAGCTTCATCTGCTGCTGGGACATTACATCGTCAGCTTTCCCGTCTGCGGAGAGTCACCCTACAACGGGTGTGAACTACGAAGGAGGGCACGGAGTTGTGTGGGTGATCGTAGCGCTCTAGTAGCGTTCTAACAGAGTTCTCACTACTTGCTGTGTTCACAGAGGAATTTGGCAAGAGTTTCCACTAAGGAAATTTAAAAGAACATTGAAAATTGAGAATTAGAGTACAAGAATGAGCATGCAAAGTGATATCTCTGGAATGGCATTGCAACCCCTAGCAACCATTCTGCAAGGCGAATTGCCAGCACTGCATCAGAGCGGTTCGCCAACGCTGAAACAGAGCGGTCTGCCAGCGTAGCAGAAGGGCGACATGCCAGCGCTGCAGCAGGGCGGCCTGCCAGCGCTGCATTCGCAGGTGAATATCTGCTGAAAAAACCATCCGTGATAGCACTGTGATCACCCGCGATAGAAATCTACTGTACTGTGACTGTTCGTGATACCCCCGTGACCAAACGTGATAAAACGGGCAAAATTGTGAGTGCGCGTATACTTTCCCCAGGTTTGGTGAGGATGTGCCTGCATCTACATGACAGTGTTCATTTCGGCACAATCCCAGGGGAGGGGAAATTGTGTACGTGTACTGTACAGTGCAGTACACATACAGCAAATTGCAAGCACCTCCACATTTTTTCCAGACCATGTTCCCGACCAGCCTCAGGCCTGTGTTTGTGTACTTCCACCTCATGTCCTCCCTCTGCACCGCTTTCCACCATGTCTTTGATTACTACCTGGTTTTGTAACCTCCTTGTTCCCTCGTCTCCTGCCCATCGTCGCCCGTCACTTCTCTCCCCTCCTCTAGACTGTCACTCGATCAGACTACTCCTGCTGGCTTCCTGACACTTGTTCATCTGGCGTCCGAACTTCTCTGGTTGTTGGTTGTGTGAGAATAACAGCTCGGCTTCAGTTTCCTTCTCGCTGTTAGCTTCTCAGCTTCCACCCGTACCGTACGTATTGGTCCAACTAGCTCCAGCGCTGAAGACTAGCGTTTGATTCGTTTTTTTTTTTTTTTTGGTTACTGCGCGTGATTCAGGGCAAGTGCCGGTCGCCTCGCCGCCACTCTTCCAAAATCACAAGCGATGCAGTCTGCAGGTTTCGCTGAAGGCCGGCGTAACCTGCTGCGGTCCGCCAGCTTAGATCCTCTGCGCATCGACAATAACCAAATCAGTCATAGTTATAGTTATAACCATTCTTTAAACTCTTCAAATCAGCAACAGCTCAACCCTGTCCATCCCGGCGCAAAACCTAATATCCTCGTTAATGGCACATACGGGCCTAATAACGGGTTCCATCAGCCCGAGTACAGTCTTCCATCCCGACCAGGATCTTCCGCGGGCCCGATGTCGCGTCCGTCGTCTGCGATGTCGAACAGGTCGCAAGGATCGTCGCAGGTGTGCGACCCGCCGCAGTGGATTCGCGGGCGACAGCTTGGCGGCGATCCGCGCAGTAAAACTCACCTCGGCCTCCACGCCGAATCCGGTCAGGTCTTCGTCGCAAAATCCGTGTCGTCGCGCGCTCTCCCTCGCGACATGCGACAGCTCGACAACGAGCAGGCGATCCTCGAGGAGCTTCGCGGCTCGCCACGTGTCGTGCGGTTGTTGGGCGCGGACTGGGAAGACGACGCTGCCTTTCCAGGAGCTAGGGTTAGGAACCTATTTATGGAGTACGTTTCGGGCGGCAGCATAGCTGACTTAATGTCCGCATTCGGCGGGAGATTACCGGAAGCGCTGGTGCGGAGATACGCGCGGGGGATCTGCGAGGGGCTGCGCGATCTGCACGCGCGCGGAATCGTCCACTGCGACATCCGCGCCGCCAACGTGCTCTTAAACGCGGACAAAGGCGAGGCGAAGCTCTGCAGCTTCGGGTCCGCGATCCGCGCCGCCGCCGCCCCCGCCGCGGACGGCTCCGCCGCGGAAGCCGCCGGCGCGCGGAAGCCGCCGCCGGCGCGGTTCCAAGGCGCGGGGGCTTACAGCTGGATGGCCCCGGAGGTGGTCCGCCAGGAGGCGCAGGGCTGCGCCGCGGATATCTGGTCGTTCGCTTGCACGGTCCTCGAGATGATCACCGGCGAGCCGCCGTGGACGGCGCAGCTCGAAGCGGCGGGCTTCTCGGCGGCGCCTGGAAGCGCGGCCGGCGGCGGCGGCGGCGGTGCGCGAGCGTACGATCGAGACGCGGTGCTGCATATGATAGGGAGCACGTTCGAGGTGCCGCATATCCCGGCGGAAGTGTCTCCAGAGTGTCGGAGTCTGTTGCGACGGTGCTTAGAACGCGACCCGGCGAACCGGCCTAGTGCTATGTTGCTCCTAGACCACGCGTTTCTGCTGCCCACGCCGTGCCCGCCGCTCTTCCGCCTCCTAGGTGGTGGTAGCAACGGTAATAACGATGCTGCTAATAGTGCGAATAGTGTGTCTGGGTTTAGTTCGGAGAGTAGAAGTGCTTCTGTGTCTGGTGTAGCAGCTGCGACAGAGAGGCTTCGCACGCCGGACCGTTACAGAATAGGGTTACCACGATCCGCGTCAGCAGGTTCGGCGGAAGATTCAGGCTCGGCAACAGGCATGGCAGCAGGTATGGTGGCAGGCATTGGTCCCGGAGGGTTCAATGCAGGCCCCCCGCTCACGCCACCCAGTTCGTCCATGCATTCAGGTGGTTACCATAATTCGCTTACCTCGCCAAAAGCTGCTGCTGGGGGGTCAGGGGGAGGGTTCACGTCGCCTGGTTCTGGGGGAGGGGTTCCAGGGGGAGGAGCAATGGGGGGAGGATCAGGGGGAGGATTAGGGGGAGCGGGGCTGGGGGGAGCAGCAGGCGGGGGAGCGTCGATGGAACGACCCCCTACGCGCCGAACGCCGCTCCAACGGTCGCAGTCACAGCCCAAGCAGCTCATCTCCACTCACGTTCCTCTGCCTGGCACTGGTAACCCTGTTTGTAACCCTAATCCGCCTGGGGTGATTGCAACTCTGGCCCAGGGATCAACCAGTAGCATCCCTCCAACTGGCAAGGCCTCTAGTAGAAACACATCGCCCATGACCAAGCCTCCTCCTCCTCCTCCTTCCGCGGCTGCTGCTGGTGGTGTTGGTGCTGGTGGTAGCGGCAGTGCAGGTGCAAACCCTAATATGCCTATGGTCGATTTGGGGCCGAATTCAATGAACCCAGCCCTAGCTGCTGCTATTCCTGGCCCGCCTGCTCTACCAGCTGACGCAGGAGCCAATGGAACGGTGACAGGTGGCGCAATGCCATTGGGGCCCATGTTGGTGCCGCCTCCAGGCATCCGCATGGGGCCGTTGATGCGTCAGATATCCAAGGGTCAGGAGGCGATCAGAGCAGCAGCTACTGCAGCAGCAGGGGCAGCTGCAGGAGGGGGGGTGGAGACAGAGAGTGGATTTGCTCCCTCCCAGACGTCGCCGCCTCTCCCGCACCAGCAGTCGCAGGCTCGTGCCACTCCTCCTCGCCCGGGCCTCCCCCGAAGCTCCAGCGGTGGTAGCTCCGGGAACTACAGTGTTTCTTTCGCAAATGGTGGTGGTGGTGGTGGGTATAACAGTGGTGGTGGGGATGGTGGTGCTGTTGCTGGTGGTGGTTACACTAGCAGTGGCGGTGGCGGTGGGGGTGGTGGATACAGCGCTGCCCTTCCTCCCTCCCCCGAAGGCGTCACTTCCCCCAACACCATATTCTCTGCTCCCTCTCCCCCCTCCATGCCTCCCCGTCGTCCCCACGCCCACCGTCGCTCCCACAGCATCTCGCCAGAGCACGGTCACCTGGGGTTCAGTTCTGGGGCGGGGCCCACCCTTGGGATTGCCGCTGGCGCTGGTGGCAGCAGTGGTGGTGCTGGTGGTGGTGGTGCTGGTGGTCGATTTGGGGCTTATCCTCCCCCAGGTGTTAGTCCTGGAGCTGGGGCAGGTGCTGGCCCAGGGACAGGCCCAGGTGTTGGCCCAGGAGGAAATGGCAATTTATTGCAGATTCAGCAGCAACAGTTGCAGCAACATTACCAGCATCATTTTGGCCCTGGGAGCTTTCAGGAGCAACCTGCACCCAGGCCGAGCCGCTCTCCCGGACCTGCACCTTTGGCTCGGCGGCCAAATCTTCACCAGCGGTCCCCGTCTGCACAACTAGACATGTCTTCCAGGCGATGGGATTCACCTGACTACAATCAGGGCCTCTGATTCTTTGATGTATGATCATGACATTGTGATGCCGAACTGATGCATAACTTCTTAGTTGCTGTACTGTACATTGTGCTTGAAAAGGACTAGGTTGTGTGCTCGAAAACTCTAGTTTCCCAACGAGGCAAGCTTCATCGTGTACACTAGTGTACCACATAAAATATGTCACAAGTAACCAACTCGGGACTCGATAACGTAAATGATAAAAAGAAAACGCGTACGGCCACAAAATCGCTGCAGAGGTCAGTCCCGGAGTTCTTCTAGAAGCGCCAGTGTCAGCCGTGAGTTCGGTTGGGATTCCCGAAAGGGAAAATATGCCATTCAGGAGGGCAACAATCAGTTTCGGTATTGTGAGGTATTCTACGGTATTCAGCGTTTGGGAAGGGTTGAGGATTTTGAGCGGATCATTGAGGCTGAGGTGGTGCGGGTTTCCTCTGCTCTTCCCTGGTCCGTTCACAGATCGAGTCGGGTTATGGCTGTTCGTTCGACTTTCACACTAGTCATTGACCGTTGTGTGTCGCATACGTACTAGTCGGTGGTTAGAAGGCAGCGGATCCGAAGCAGGTGGAGCTGCGTTGCTGATGTTGAGCAGTGGTCGAATCTTAGCGCTGTAACGAAACAGCTCTTAATGATGGACAACCCCTCACATTCGCGTATCCCGCCAGTAGCGATGCGAAATCTTCTGCGTGGCCTGTTCTCGCCCCCTCTACTCCTCCTTGCTCTGTTAGTCCTCGTTCCATCCCAGCAGCACCCCACTAGTGTCAAAACTGCCGGGATTCGCGCCGCGATTGCCGCTAAGAAGTATGTGGCGCGAAAGGAGGACGTGCCGTTGATAAAGTGCGGCGTGTGCGAGCTGCTCGCAAAGAATTTGCTGCGGCAAGTGCGGGAGAAACGCCAGGCGGTTGCGCCGAAGAAGGTGATTCGGTCGCAATTCCGTGGTGCAAGTGTTTTCTCTCTCGAATTTTCGGCAAAGAACGCTTTCAATGAGTGCGGGAGGAGCCTACAAGGAAATCGGGAAGAGCCGAAGAAGTTTGTCGGTCGCGGATACTCGGCTATGGCGCCTATGAAAATTTTCGGACAGAGAACGTTTCATGGGCGAAAATGAATAAGTCATTACAAAGCAGCAGTTAAGGAATTTTACATCTCAAAGAAGCGAAAAGGATTATCTCGGGTCGAATGTCTCCCTTCCTCCGGTCCCCTTGTCCTCCCCTTCCCGTTCCCTCCTAACCCCTCCTCTTCGCTGTCCTCCCCCCCTGCTACCCTCCCCTCCGCTCCCTCCCTTCCTCTCCCCCCTCCTCTCCACCCCTTCCACCCCCTCTCCACCCTTTTTCGCCCATCTGCATCCCTCGTCTCCTCGCAGCTATCAGAGCTGAAAATTATCGAGCTTGTGGAGTCTGCATGTGACGTCAGCAAGGACGAGGGCGATTGGATCCAATGGCTGGACGTGCAGGAGAAAGGCGACAAGCTCGAGGTGAGGTGCAGGAGGAGGGATATGGGGAAGTTGAGGTGCAGGGAGGGTAGGACTTATGAATGTGCAAGACTGGATCCAATGGCTGGATGTGCAGGAGAAAGGCGACAAGCTCGAGGTGAGATGCAGGGATGGAACAGAGGCTTGGAAGAGGTTTGGGGTCCGGTTTGGGAACCGGTTTATTGATCTGGACGAGGGCGACTGGATCCAATGGCTGGATGTGCAGGAGAAGGGCGACAAGCTCGAGGTCAGATGAAGGGATGGAACAGAGGCTTGGGAACAGGTTTGGGGATCCGTCTGGGGACTGTTTTTGGTTTGGTGGCCAGGTTTTGATTCAGGACGAGGGCGATTGGATCCAATGGCTGGATATACAGGAGAAAGGCGACAATCTCGAGGTGAAATGGAGGAGGTTGGATATGGGGGAGGTGAGATGCAGGAAAGGTGGGAGCTGCTCGAGGCGAGATGCAGGAAAGGTGGGAGCGGCTCAAGGTGATTTCTGCACACCTAGTACAAGGCTATTTATGCTCTAAGTCACCATTTCCCACCCACCCACACTCCCTACCTTTCCTCCCTTCCCCCCCCCTCCCCTTCCCGCCTTTCCCCCTTGCCCCTTCCTCTTCCTCCTTTTCCCCCAAACCCACCCCTCCCTTCAGCTGAAGGAGTTCCCCTACCCTGGGGATTGCCGCACAGAGTGCAAGACGATTCAGAACGCTTGCCATGCCGCCACCCACCCACCCACATCCCCGTCCCCACCCACCCCCCTCCTCCCCTTCCCCTCTCAGCTGAAGGAGTTCCCTTACCCTGGGGATTGCCGCACTGAGTGCAAGACGATTCAGAAGGCTTTTTGTGCCGCCACCCACCCACCCACCCAACCACCCACATCCCCGTCCCCACCCACCCCCCTCCTCCCCTCCCCCATTCAGTTGAAGGAGTTCCCCTACCCTGGGGATTGCCGCACAGAGTGCAAGACGATTCAGAAGGCTTGCCAGGAGGTAATGTGAGGGAGTGGCGTGTGAAGTAGTGCAAAGAGGGGAGGGGGGGGTAACGTGCAAGAGATTGGGGGTTGTGGGGTAGCGCAAGCGAGAAAATGGGGGGCCGGGAGGGGGGGGAGGATGTGCAAGAGGTGATGTCGAAGGGGGTGTGGGGTACTGCAAGGTGGTAATGTGCGAGTGTGCTGGAGCTGTGTGGAGGGGGTAATGTGTGGGGTTGTGTGGGGGAGGAACTGGAGAGAGCAGGAGAAAATAGGAAATAATGGGAGTGGTGGATGAAATAGAGAAGGTAAACTTCACTTCCCTTCATTCCTTCTTTCCCATCCAACCCTCTCTTCCCCCACCTTCCTCTCCCCCCTTCCACCATCAGGTGATGGGCTTTTCAGACACGGACGTGGCAGAGCTCCTCTTCTCCCAGCCGTCCATCCTGGAAGCGTCTTCTTGCCCCACTCACCTCCTTTCCCCCCCCCACCCCACCTCCCTTCCCCCACCCCACCTCTCCTCCCCCACCTTCCTTTTCCCTTTTTCCCCCCCCGATCAGGTGATGGGATTTTCAGACACAGATGTGGCAGAGCTCCTCTTCTCCCAGCCGTCCATCCTGGAAGCAGAGTTCAAGAAACAATTGTGCCACGAGATGACCCCCACATGCAAAAAGCGACCGCCTCCTGTTCCCAAGGTACGAATCAACAGCGTTTATCATATTAGGCGCTCCCAGGGGAGTCAGCCATTAGGGAAAATGTTGAGATCCTCTTCTCCCAGCCGTCCATCCTGGAAGCAGGGAAAATGTTGAGTTCTCGAGGCAGCTGTGCCACGACATGACCCCTACGTGCAGAAAACCTACTGCTCGCATTCCCAAGGTACGGACAAACAAACATCAAGCAATGTGACTCCACAGAAGAGCTCCTCTTTTCCCGACATGAAGGGAGCTCGTCCATTTAGGGAGCCGATTTCGTGAAGCAGCTGTGCCACAACATGACTCCCACATGCAGAAAGCAGTCGCCTCCCGATGCCATGGTAGTGTGAGCACACACCGCATGTTCTTTATGCGTGTAACACATGGCGCTTACAGTACGTGGGCACATGTGTGCATCCTTTCCTGCTGCTCTTGTGTGTACTGCAGGGCCGCAAGCCAGGGGAAGCGTTCCGGCGCAAGAGCAGCACGGAGGTGGAGAGGGAGAGGATGATGCGAGACATGGACTTGAAATCTGAGAAGTACCGAGAAGAGGTGGGCAGGCAGCATGATTTGTTGGTTTGTGCATGAAAATAGGGAGGTGAAAAGGGAGTGGATGATTCGAGACATGGACTTTAAGTTATACAGTTTTGAGGCGCCTCAAAACCAGACTGTAACTCAAACAAAGTACCGAGAACAGGTGTGTGGGTGGGAGCGCGCAATGTTGAAAATATACGCAGTTAATATTCTTATCCATGGCTCCAATTTCTTCAACAATTATGTTGTCCACCCCCTTGTCCTGTGCAGAACCCTCACGCCCCCCGCATGCCTAAAATGAAGCTGTACTCGCGTGATGACCTTTTAAAGAAGACGTCTGTAGGGGGGATGGGGATGGGCGACGAGGAGGAGGACGAGGATGAGGAAGATGGGGAAGGGGAGGAGGAGGATCCTGAGGAGAAGCTGAGGAACGAGTTGGGACCGGGGACACATGTTGACATGGAGGCGATTCGGGCTGCTTTGAAGGCTGCAGATGAGAAGGTGAGAGTGAGGAGGAGAGAGAGGAAGAGGAACGGGAGGAGGAAGACCCAGAGAAGAAGCTAAGGAATGAATTGGGGCCAGGAACACATGTTGACATGGAGGCTATTCGTGCTGCTTTGAAAGCTGCAGACGAGAAGGTGAGATAGAAGGGGAGTGTGTGGGGATGAATCGAGCAACTCTTGAGGCTAAAGGTAAAAGGGTGAGAGGGGGGGTTGTGAGAGGGGGGGTTGTGACATGGGTATAATGAAAGGGGATGATATCAAAGGCAAGCTGAAAAACCTCGAACCCGCTCTTCATGTGCTCTAATGCTTTCACTTCTTTGGTTGATCTGTTACATTGTACGCTGGCAAATTTTGAGGCGCCAAAGGTTTACTTTCGCTTCTTTGGTTGGCCTGTTACATTGCACATTGGCTTGTGCACGTTGCAGGAGAAACAGAAGGAAGCGGCACTCAACTCCCCTCTTCACCGTCTCTACCTTTCCTCGCAAGCTCTCATTCAACGAGCCACTCACACTGGGACCACACTTATCAAAAGATTCCGAGCCACTGCTGCCGGGAAGCACACAAGCAAGCTCATTCGCCAGGTCCAGAAGAGCCAGGCGGTTAAGCAGGCAAAAAGAGCATTGGCTAAGGCTAAGAGGAGTGCTGTCGGGAAGCAGGTTGTGTCGATGGTTCGTCGTGTGAATGAGATGGTTGGTGAGGTGGGGGAAAGGGCCCTGCAGATGGGCGAAGAAATTCTGATAAGGCTTTTACCAGGAAATGGGGAGGGTCGTGGCAATAGGGATGGGCATGGGGAAGAGTTGTAGTGAATGCTGGTTCTAGTTCTTATGTGAACGAATGCCGAACTCTGTTTCTTGTTAGTGCCCGCTCTAAATGGTTGCATGTTTGTGCTAATATATTCATCAGTATTCAGTAACTAGAGCCAAATGGTTTTGCAGCACTCTGGTCGGGGCGGAGGGCACGCAACATCAGGCCCTGAGTGTATCTTATCTGGAGGAAGAGGCCACTCTGACTCCTCACGCACGGTTACGACCGTTCTTGCTTGTGTACACTTGCTCTTCGGTGTATATTTGCAATTACCATAAAAAGTAACTAGAGCAATCACTTGTAACGGAGCTGTCTGCAAGGAACTACCTAACGCTTTTGGCTAGGTTTGGTGATAAGCGAACTCGTTTGGTGAGACCAGGCTCGGCGTGGGCCCCTCGTCTGATTGGTTTACAAGGGATCTTGGGCGTCACGCCTCGATGGTTACTGTAGTCAGCCAGTAAGGGCGTGTAAGATCCCCGTGCACACAGAATCGGCCATCAAAATTAGGTGGCCGTAGCGAAAGTAACCATTTCGTGATCGGTTTGCGAATCTCGTCAATTTCAACCATCAAATTTGTGATTTGATGGCCGGAAAACTAGTCGACTCTTTTCCGACGCGTGGTCGACTTCAAATCGGCCATGCTGTCGACAGCAGCTGTCTACAGTGAGAAACGAAGTCGCATACGCTGCTACAGTGAAATTGCGACATCGTATTCATGTGTGCGACATCGTCGCACCAAGTCGTAAAAAAGGACAAACCGAAATCTTCCACCTCTGTTACAGCGGCCAGCAAAACCGTGTCAGATTTGGAGGCCACACTGAGTTGGCCGAAAATTTGTCGACCTGGTGACGACTAATCTGTCGACCTTCGCGAAAGCTTTGTCGACCAAAATGGTCGACAAAATTCAGCCAAAACGTGTGCACGGGGATCTTACCACCCTAGGTTGCCTTGCCGTGCCTCGAACGTCACCTCACCTTCCTCACCATACCATCATCGCGGCCTCTGTGGTGGGCAGGGCAGCCCCCCCAAACTTTTCCCTGCTCGCCAAGCCTCCGTTCAGCGAGCTTTTCGCAGCCCTTCCCCCTTCCGCTCTGTCCCGCTTTGCCCCTCCCACTCCATCTCGCTTCGTCCCACTCCCATGACTTGTGGTTGTGCGAATTTTAGACTTCCGTCAGCTTGCTTTTCTTTTCGTCTGTCCCTGTCGGTCTCCTAGGCCCAAGCCATCTCCGTCAGTCACAAGTTTCCCACTTCCGCCAGATATCTCTACCACACCTTACACATCACATCCACGCACCATACCGTACCACCCAAGTTCCAACAGACTCCAGTAACTGTGTTTCCTATCTTTCAGGCTATCGCTTCCCGTTCGTCGTTCGCAGCCATGGACTCCGCGAAAGTGGTGAGTCTGACAGCATGAGCCAGCTTCAGCGTTGTCTTTGCAAACTGTTACATTCTTTATTTCACCATTCGGTCCTCCTTCTCGGTGTGAGGCTAATTCACCTTCACTCCTCCGAGAATTTATCACAGGCTCTCTTGTCCACTGAGGACACCGAACCGCTCATCTCTTTACACCAACCAATCCTCCTCTTTTTATGTGCGAAACTAACTTGTTTCTAATTATCCGCACAGGCTCTCTTGTCCACTAAGGACAGCGATTCCACCGTCAACGGCTTGGAGGCTGGCGTTCGCCGGCTCGGCCTCCCTACGGGGTCCCTTCTGGTGCGTCCTGCAAGGCGCTCGCTTCTTCCTGAAATGCCTGGAGTCATCGTCGTGATTTTCCCGAGCTGAAATGCATGGAATCTTTGTTGTGATACTCAGAGCTACGTTCACTGAGGAATGCCTGCAACCTCTTGCTGAAACGTTTCATGCAAAATTCTTTTGTGCTGGATGCACTTTGCCCGTTGTCGTCGTTTGCGTTCTGTGACACGTCGAGTGAGAACTTCGATTTAATTTTGTTTCTCATCGCTTCCTCGTTTATCCATTACCTGTTTGGTGGAAACAGGGCGTGAACCGCAAGGGCGATGACTTGCTGGAAATTAACCTTCCGCGGAATGGTTTCACCTCCCGTTGCCTCGTTCTCTACACCTTTTTTCTGGTAAAGCCATGTTTTCCTTCACGTCTGAACCTTGTTTCCCCCGTCCTTCTGTTCTAAACATTACCATTCGTCTGAACCTAGTCGTTTCGCGGAACGTACAGCTGCTTCTTGGCAGTGTCCTTCCTGCTACTCCGCCGTTTTACCTAAAACCTGTTCGTTCCACCTGTCGTTGCACCTGTCCGCTTTGTTGCTCCCAGATATACGTGGCGATTTTCGCGGTGTTCTTCGTCGACCTTGATGCGCTTACTCCTTCCAACGCAGATTTCTGCTCCATGTGCCCCCTTATTGGCCTCGCGACACTGGTCTTAATGTAAGCAGCACCTGTGCATAACGTTCAAATTTCACATGCAGGGTGACTTCCTCTTTTCGTTACATTCTTTCCGCAAGTTCGTTATCAAGTCCTTGGCGTATCGACTTCCTTTCTGGGCAAATTTCGAAACTGTACTGTCCGTGCTGTCTCCGTCAATTCGCACATTTATCCCTCATTTTCAGCGTTACCATCATCATGGTTGTCAAGGCACTGACTCGCCGCCACCTCACCTTCACCCGCTCCGACTTCACCATGACGTCGTCCTTCCTCGGCCGCAAGTGCTGCTGCCGCAAGTCCGCCGTGCAGGGCAAGGCCTCTGACATTTCCAATGTCAAGATTGTGGTGTCTGGGGTAAGTTCACGGAACCTGTGTGTGTGTGCGCCCCCTTGCGCATGGGTGTGTTGTTTTAGCATGGGAATCTCTTGGAGCATCTTTGGGAGCTAATTGTTGTTCCTTATACCATTTATGCCCAACCTGACCCATCCTGATTTTCTTCAGGGCCAGTTTGCTGGTTTTGTGACGGCCTGCAAGGTCTCGGAGAATGTTTGTTCTCCTCACATGCATCCCCTCATTTCGTATCTCCGCGTTTTCCCCCTCTTGCACGCTCTCAGGGTCAGTTTGCGGGCTTCATGACGGCCTGCGAGGTCTCTGAGGGCGTGCGTACGCACCGCTTTGGCATGAACCTGAGTGTGAGCGAGAAGCAGTACCTTGTGCAGGAGATTGGGGACTTCCTCGCCTGCCCTTACTCCACCCAGGTCCAGCTTGCGTAAATGGTGTAAATACAGCACTTGCGGGTGCATGTATAGCACTAGGTTGAATGTACATGGAGTGGGAGTGGTGTGTTACTGCAATATGCAGAGCTGGCAACCTTCAGTCATGCCAGCTCGAAGGCTAGTAGATGCCTGTGTTAATAACGTTCATGGGGATGCAGCATTGGGAAGATCTGTGTGGTTTTTCCATTTGTTGCATGACAATGGCTTAAGAGCGTGATTTATCTTACTATGTACAAATGATACACGGTAATCAGCCTCAAGCTTGGCCTTGAGAAACGCCACCACCAGCCCAGCAGTAGCTGCCCGGGCTTTCTTTTTATGTGGCCCTCCAGGGCACACATTAACAGTCACTCGCATATCGTTGTTAAAGTCCGCATGGCCATACCTGGGCAGCACCACATGATACGCCGAATCTGCAAGATCCGAGTAAAAGAATCTGTGGCCGAAATACGCTGGTGCGCAGGGCATTCCACCTTTTTGCTCTGGAATGGGACCCAGCCCTGCTCCTATAACGAGTACAGGAATGCCCAGGCTGATGGAGCCTGGTCGGTGGGTCAGTGTAGCTGGGGGATTTTTTGTTTTGTTTGAAGCGCCGTCTACAGGGTCAACCAGAACAACTGCCCCGATTGTAACAGGGGATTTCTTGACTAAGCCCCGGGCAACTCCAAACGCGACTTTACCCCCTCGACTGTGTCCCGAAATAGCAAACTTTTCCCAATCGGGAATGGCTTTCACTTTGAGGCGATTGGCGAGGACTGATGCGAGGCGCTTGCGCATCCAGCCAATGACGTTTGCTGAACCGCGCATCTCTGGCGCTGTATTGTAGCCTGTTGTTATGGGGTACATCTGGGTTGTGGCAGGAGGGGGACAGGGGAAGGGGGGGAATGTTGGAGGAGGGGTTGGTGGGGAGGCTGAGTGAAAGAAGAATGGCGGGGCCGCTGTGTTGTAGCCTGCTGTTAAAGAGTGTATGTGAGCAGTGATTGAATGGGGGGAGAAAGGGAAGGCTGGGAGGAAGGGGAGGGGGGAGGAAAGGGGGAATGAGGGAGGAAGAGGGGGCAACCATCCCACCACCAGAACCGATCCATCACAACCTGCCAACAAGAAACCCAAACCTGAGAGCTAGGAATGGATATCTGAGCACGAAGCATACCTGGGGAGCGACGACGATGTAGCCGTGCTTGGCTATGCGCGTGAGCAGCTGCGAGTAGAAGGAGGTTTGGGCGGAGAAGCCATGCTGGAAGAGCAGCACCACATGTACACCCAAGCACCGCAATGAACCCATCCTTACCCATCTGAACACAGATTGCACCCACCCACATACCTGGGGAGCGACGACGATGTAGCCGTGCTTGGCTATGCGCGTGAGCAGCTGCGAGTAGAAGGATGTTTGGGCGGAGAAGCCATGCTGGAAGAGCAGCACCACATGTACACCCAAGCACCGCAATGAACCCATCCTTACCCATCTGAACACAGATTGCACCCACCCACATACCTGGGGAGCGACGACGATGTAGCCGTGCTTGGCTATGCGCGTGAGCAGCTGCGAGTAGAAGGAGGTTTGGGCGGAGAAGCCGTGCTGGAAGAGCAGCACTGGCAGGGCGGTGGCAGAGGCTGGCTTGGGCGACCAGATGCGGAGAGGCCTGGGGGGGTTGCTCTGGGGGGGAGAACAGGGTGAAGGGGGGGGGAGGAGGGAAGGGGAGGAGGGGAGTGTTGGGGGGAATTGGGCGACCAGATACGGGGAGGCCTTGGGGGGGTTGCTCTGGTAGCAAGGGAACAAGGTGGGGGAGAGGGGGAAAGTGTCGGGGGAAGGAAAGGGGAGACATGGGAAGGGTCGAGAAAGGAAGGGAAAGGATGGGAGGGGAAAGAAAGGGATGGGGAGGGATAAGGAGGCAAAGGGAAGGGATGAGGAAAGGGTGCGGAGCCTGAATAAAGTGGCGAAACGACGAGCTGATCGCCATTGAAAAGGAACGGGCGTTTATCTTACCTTCAAAAGGAATGCTCGCCGTTTTAGAAGGAACGCTCCGCGTTTCACGGCGTACGGTCAGCGGCTGAACACTTTCCCAGGCGTTGCATCCATGGTGGTAGCGTTCGTGTCAACTGAGGTGGCAGACGTTACATCTGAGCTGGCTGCCGCCGCATCTGGACTGACCGCCTCGCTCTCGACACGGACAATCGACGCGAGGAAGCAGAGGACAGCTAATGACGTGGCAAGAGCAGTCAGGACGCCACGTGGAAACCTACATTTTGCTGTTCGACATGACCGGCAATCTACGTCAACCATCTCCCCAACCACGTCCGCAAACGCGGTTCGCACCAATCAACCACAATTGAAGCTCGTCAACAGTCGGCCCTAAGCTGCTTCTGAGTGCTGCTAGTGTTAGGAAAACGAACGAAAAACGCGAGCTTCGCCAGTAAGACAGCAGAACTACTACGTGTCTGCTAAGGACGCGGCACATGTTTGCATATTCCCAGGATCTGGGGGGATCGGGGCCTCGCATCGATCCTGGCACATCGATCGGCACACCGATGTGCCCACACTGCAAATTTGCAGTGGGGTAGACACTTCGAGCTATAAGTGCCAGGGTCGAAATTGCAGGGTCGGGCAGGTTGGAATACACCAACAGATTGCAACGCGCAGCCAATAAGGGTAGAGCGTTGTCGTCGCCCAGCAATTTCATTCGCAGAAACTATGGAAATTTTAACCTGCGACCGTGGGCGACGCCGATCGATCGCGGCTGTCACCTGTGGCGCAATTTACTACCCTGCCAAATCAGACGCAAGATCGATGTGTGCCCAGTGCCACATCGATCGTGCGAGCTGCGGGTGCCACCACTTTGAGAGCCCATTTACTGTACATTTTGGCGATTTTGCGAAACTCAGATACCAGGCGTTCGCGGTGTCGCCACGAGACTGTACACACGGCACATCGATCCCCAATCACGATCGATCCTGCCTCCTGGCAAACAGGTGCCGCGTCCTAAGCTATTCAGATGATTTATTGGTTGCAGCTGAACTTATGCAGGCGTAGTACGATAGAGAGTACGGACGGAGGGACTAGTGAAGCTGAAGAGGGAGCTTTAGGAAACGACTGATAGGAGGTGCTGCCACGTAGGCAGCCTAGGTTTCTGTGCGGACCGACGGAAACACAGACATTTCGGTGCGCGCTTCGGGACGTCTAGCTAGAATATGTAACACCGCGACAGCGTTTTCGCTTCGCCATAGCTTTTGTGCTGGTGCTTTCGGTTCGCGAAGTTGAACGCTGTTTTCGCGTGACACGTTGAGATACATCCCGCCGCCGCCGCCGCCGCCGCCGCTGCTGCTGCTGCTCCCGCTGCAACTCCAACCTCTCACTCTCCACCCGCTGCTGAAGCTCCAACCTCTCACGCTCCAAACGCTGCTGCTCCTCACGCTCAAGACGAAGACGGGCCTGGTGGCGAGTCGGGTAAGGGTGAGGAGGAGGAGTAGCGTGAGGAGACGACGAAGAAGAACCTGCTCCGCCCTCGACAGCACCCGGCTGAGCACCCCCAGAGCGAGTACCCCCCGCGGCAGCACGACCTGCACCTGCAGGAGGTGTACCCGCACCCCCAGCCGTGGTGCCCCCAGTAGCACCAGCACCAGCCCCAGACTCTCCAGCTCCAGAAACACCACCAGCTCCAGCACCACCACCAGCTCCAGTACCCTCGGAACGGGCAGCTGCGGCAGGTGCACGCTCAGCGCCAGTGCCAGCACCCCCAGAACTGGCCGCTCCTGTAGGTGCACGAACAGCTCCAACGCCAGCACCCCCAGAGCGAGCACCGCCAGAGCCCTCACCTCTAGCACCGACACCCTCATTGTCCACAGTGGCCGGTGAAGGAAGCGCCGACGGCTGCTGCGGAGGCGGTGAGGACGACTGTGGGGAAGGAGGAGAGACCTGGGGGGGTACCGAGGGAGGGGGAGTAGCGTGAGACACACCAGACGGAGCGGGAACAGGGGGGGGTACCGGAGGAGCAGGGGCGGGAGGAGGAGGAGCTGGAGCCAGGAAGAGGGGAGGGGGGGGAACCGGGAGACCTCGAGAGGGGTACCTGACGTAGTAGGGGACGGACTCGTCGAAACGGACGTCACGAGAGTCAAAGAACCGGTGGGAGGGTGGGTGGTAAAAGGTGAAGTCAGAGGAGCCCTCTGGGAAACCAAGGAAGACACAGGGGACGGCGCGAGGCGAGATCTTGTCCGCAGAGGTGTCGCGGACAAGAGCCAAGCAGCCCCAGACACTAAACCTCGACGCAACACCAGGGGACCCTGTCCAAAGACTGGTCGGTGAAGCCCCTGGCCGAGAGACGCGAGGCCAGAGGTTCAGCTGGTGAGCGGCGTACCGAGCCGCGTAGGGCCACAGAAAATGGGGCGCGCGGGCGTGGATCATGGAGGTGCGGGCGATCTCCATGACCAGGCCTAAGCGGCGCTCAGCAACCCCATTCTGCTGTGGAGAGTCTGGAAGAGTCCAGGACTGGGTGATGCCCTGCTCAGCACAGAATCTGGCGAGAATGCCGGAGCGAAACTCACCCCCACGGTCGGAGTGGAGACAACTGACACGACGACCACGAGTGCCCTCGGTGGCGAGGAGCCACCGGATCAGCGTAGAAGTCACGTCGGACTTCTTCGCCAAAGGGAACACGGTGGTGTACCGAGAGAAATCGTCAACGACCACCAGAAAGAAACTCTCCCGCTCAGGGCCAAGGCGGGAGGCGGGGCCCCAGACGTCTAAGTGGAGTGTCTGGAAGGGCTCGGTGGCCGGACGAAGGGAGGAGGAGTGAGGGGTGGCGCGAAGCCGACCCTGGACACAAGGACCGCACGGAGGAGCTGGGGACGGCGGGAGTGGCGGGAGGACTCGGGGGAGGCCTAAGACAAGACGCTGACTGGACATGGCGCGCAGACGAGGAAGGGACGGGTGCCCCATCCGGTGGTGCCACAGAACGGTGGGGTGGGCAAGCGACCGACACGAGCACGACGCAGCAACTACACCT